AATTTTTATTTATTAGACTCTCGTTCTCTTCTTTTGTATTAATCATGCAGAGACGTGTTGAATTGAAAGAGAAGTATGTAACGTAATCTTACATATTATTGATGGTAACGACATTTTCTCTTTTGGACGAAATTACAGAAAAAGTTAAACAACTTATAAATTTGGCCTTCGTAGTGGAAATACTTATTGTAATTCTAAGTTTATTATGAACACTTATTACACTTCGAAACGTTTTGATGGTGTAGGGGATCAAAATATTTCTAGTTATAACTATAATGATAATGGTGAAAATTCTTGCTATGAGGAGACCAGCCCTTTTCTACGGTATAAAAACTATAAAAACCAACCCTTTGTAAATGCTTATAACCAAGCAAACACCGCGTTCAACTCTCCAAGACGTTATCACTTTCAGGGAAGTTTAAGCCCTAATAAGAACATAGCTCATAGGCGTCGTCATGCCGTCGATCAACTTCAGTTTTTACCTGAGAGTGAGTTTGACGTTTCAACTTTTTTAAGAAAGACTCGGTTACATAAGTATACACCTTTAATTACAGAGAAAAATATATCTTTTGAAGATTTTTTAAATATTAATGATGAGAAAACTCTTGAAGAACTCGGGGTCTCTGCCAAAGGTGCACGACATCGCCTTTTACAGGCTATCGAACGTTATAGAAAACAGAGAATTGAATGGACTAAAGCAGGTATTACCGTTGGTCCTTCCTCTTCAGGAAGTATTGGAACAATGTCTATTATGGCACAGAAGCAAGAGCAGTTTCACATTTTTCGTAGTTCTTATTCTTTTTTAAACAGTACCCCGTTTACTACTAAAAACTTTTATGCCACGCATAGTTTTAGTGGAGACGAAAAAAATGATCCTTATGCTGTTTACCATGATAGAAGACCTAAAGGAAAATATTATAGTAATAACAATTTTAATCGTTTTAATTATTATGGTGCTACTGGTACCGTAAGACCTCGTATTAAAGAATTGTTTAATGGAAATAAAACTAATAATAATTTTACAAACGATATTCATTCTATTAATTCAGTCGGTGAGTTTAATTATAAACGTATTGCTAATAATAAAATTAATTATAGTTATAGTAATACTGACAACAGTAGTAATAACAATTCTAATAATAGTTTTAATAATAACGGTATCAATAGTATTAACACTAATAATGGTAATATACATTTTCATATTCAGAACTCTCCTCCTAAATCAAGGTTTATCTCCCATCCTATATCGAATTACACCGGCTGTTCTAAATCTTTTTTTCAGAAAAAAAATAATAATGGTTTATTAATAACTTCTACCCAGCCCGATTCGTCTGAGGTAAAGGATGAATACAATAATGAAAATATATGTTTAGAAAGTTCTTATTCTCAAGCGTTATTATGCCCGGATGTTGATGTGGATTCAGTACTTGGGAAAACTCCTTCATCCTGCACTTTATCGGTGGATAATCTAGTTTATGATGATTATAATTATTTATCACCTTCCAACCTTGAGATGCACGATATTTTAGATGCACTTCCTGAAGATGATGACTTGAACTCTATAGGCGACATACACCCACAGAGTTCGTTTAATTCCTTCACGACCGATGAACAATTTTCGAATAACAAAACCTTAGTCAAGGATTTAAAATGCTCAAGTTCTCTTGGAGAAAAATCTCTTAATAGAAAAGAAAGAGTTTTTTATACTACCCCAAGTTTTGCTCTGGAAGCTATTGCTAATTTTAATTCTAATAGTTCTACTTCTCCTTCGGTTCGTAGTGCTGTCGTTAACTCCGATTCTACTGCTAGCAGTAACGTTGTTAACCCTTTCGATGAAGTTAAAGATAAAAATAACGGCGACAGCAATAACAGCCATGATAATATCTATTAATATTTTATATATATTAATAATAACACTGATTTCTTTGTAACTTATTTCTTCTCCAACTATGTTGCCGTTGACCGGCAATCATTTTTAGGTTAAAAACTTCTGTTACTGCTTTAAGTCTGTGACTTAAAATAAATGAATAAATTTTTAAGCTCTTGCAATACTTTTATTTTATACTATACACCTTTTCGTAATAGAGACTGTTTTCAACTTCTCCTCTTTGGTATATGTGTAAAACGAAATTTCTCGTTGGTGTTTATATTTAATAGAAAAAGACTCTTGGGTAGTCTCGTTCACCATTGAGAATGCACATTTACTGTATATAAGGGGATGATACAGGGGAATTCAACAAAGTATGGGTTTTATTATATAGATTTATTTTATAAGGAAGAGTTAATTATTTATCGTTAAACTTAAATTTGAATATACATTTTTTCTACTATTGTACAAGTGCCAACATCTACCTCCTAATATTTTTTTTTTACTACTTGTGTACTCATCAATGCAGTTTATGCAAAAATAAAATTCTACACATTAAAGCCGATGTTTTCAAATATACCTAATATTTAAATAGTATTTCCTTTAATTTTTTTTAAAAAAACTTTAATTAATTGCCCATAATATATTTTCACCATGTACCTTGTAATACTATACTAATTACTATGAACTACAAACTTTACGGCGACGTTCAAATTCAGTTGAATTTCTTAGAATTTTATTGTGTGCCACCTACTCAATCAGTTTTTCAAAATTCATTACGTCAAACTGATTTAACGTAACGATCTTTTAAAAGGTAAATCTTCTCCAGTTAAAATTTGTCTGTTTAGATTTTTATGCTATTTTCTTGTGTGTCGAGGGGCCGTTTATAAAAAATGTTAAAATAATCCTAATAAGTGACAATGTAAACAATTGCATCAACGAGGATGATTGCTAAGAATGTAATAAATCAACGTAGGATGTTAATAAAAAATATTTAATAATTACAAAAACTGTAAGTATCTGTTGTGTGCCTTGTTTGTATATAACATATTTCAAACAACATAAACAAAAATCACGTAGCGGCTAACTAAAATAACCAAATTTTTTTTAATCACATACTATCAGAAAATTTTGAGGCCGCGTGTTATCTGACTAACTTTTACTGTTCACTTTTATTTTTATTAATGTATATTTATTAGTGCAAAAGAGTTTTCTGCTATTTTTATTATTGTTTTTTTAACGTTTTTTACTAATTATTTTTTTTTTATTAAAAATTTTTATATTTAATAATTTAATGCTATTAACTGCTAAGCTACAAACGATTATTTACGAATCTGTAACCTGTTACATCCTCTTTCTATCCCTAGTGAAAACTAACTTTTAAATAACTACAAGTAGAATACGTAAAAAAAAATATTTATTTAAACTTATTTTGTCGAATATAACTTTCTCTTTAAGAAGTTCAATTTTTACTAAAGGTACAGATAAAAAATTGATTAACAATATAGCGTTTATCAGAAGGTCACTAACAATTTCAACGGAAATTAAAACTTTGAAAAACAGGCAGTGTGATTCAAAATATCTCGAGATATATTGTGGCGTCCTTTTAAAGCTAAAGCAGTTTTAGAAATGTTTTACATTGAAAATTAAATGTTTTAAGGTCTTCAAATAAATGCTAACTTCATGTACCAGATAAAAGTATTTCATACTCAAGATTTATAATCTTTCGTTTAAGACTTTTTTTTCTTTTTTCTATGTGGCGTACCATTAAATTTAGTGGTCTTCAGTCCTTTTCTTGGGAGCCTTCCGCAGAATTTTTTATTTTTATTAAAAGTTAAACAGCAATAGTCGTAGTAAAATTAGGCATTGCAGAGGTATTTAAATAAACATGTAAATGTAGCAATTAGTGGATTTAAGTGTATATATATATATAACAATGAGATAATTTTTAAACTATTGCTTCTACCTAATATATGTTATTAAAAGACCGCAAAAAAAACTCTTAAAATTGATTAAGTTTGTATACATTGCAAACATGAGGTTTCTTCTTGGGATTTACAATATGTACCTTTCATTTTTTAAATATATGTATATTCTCAACCCTACAGTATACCTACAACTAACCCGAAACTCTGCTGATACAGATTTAATTATCATAAGTTGTTTGCCACTTGGTTTTTTTTCTTATCAAGTTTAAAAAGTTATCATAATAAAATAATGTCCAATAAATTAATTAAACTATGTATCACTTATATCTTAAGTAGGACTATTTTTGTCCCAAACAACCATTAGTCAAGTAATAATTGCAAAAATGATAAAGGATTATTTATTAATATAATTCTGTACTAGATAAACCTTTTATAGCTAGCAGTGATAACAAAAAAAAAAATTAATTTTAAAAAAAATTTCCTTGAGTTTAAAATATCTATTAAACAAACAGAACTGTCGCAGTACTCAATTTAATTAATTAAGCACAATATGTATAACTGGACTGAGCACATTCCTTTTGCGATTAGCAATATTTAATTTAACTAGTGAGTATTAACTATACATATTTATATTATTATTGCTTTTAACGCTTAATTATCACGAGTATTAACGTGTTACTAATTTGTAATGAGAAATCGATTCATCTTTCTCTAATCGCTAAAATAAAAAAAATTCAATATATTTTGTTTATCGCAAGTTGTTGCCAAAAAAAATAAATTCTAACAAATAATTAGAATATGTAAGCCTAAACATACTTTTATTTATTTTAATCAAAAAAAATAACATCTATTAAGTTACCATTGTTGTCTCACTATAGTAAAACTTAAAGCGTTGAGACGATATTGCTAAAACCATTTGTTATTTATAATGCATCTTTTTATCTAACAGTTTTTGAGTGGCCTCTTCGATAAAATTGATAACTTTTATATTTTAATCACTTTTTAAAATGAGCTCGTTGATTTATAGGTTTAAACAATTTTCCCTTATCTTTACTATTTCTTTAAAAATTGTAATAGATGGATAACTGCACTAAAAGAATTTAGTATAACTGAATATATACTTTTATATCGACAAAATAAAGACTCAACGGGAAATAATTGTGGCACAGAAATTCTTTAAAATATTTATTAAGTTGATTGGAAATTTAAATAAAACCATCATAAAGAGAGAGAGATTGACACACCGACGGATCACGTGAGCAGGCAGAGACAAATTCTTCTAACCGAATAGCTTCATCTTCTTTCTAGATAATAAAATATAAAAAAAATTTTTTATAAATTGAAATTTTTACGAGATTACTTTATAAAATATAACTATACAATTCCTATAATTTCATATTACTATTACTTAAATATTTATGAAACAAGATATAACAAAATTTTTATAATTTTAGATTCCTATTACTAATAAGTTTACATTATTAATAATAAAAATTAAATAATTAAGTCTCCAGTGCTTGTTAATTTCTTTATTATTGTAAATTTTATATAATTTTGGAATTCCTAATACTTATAAGTTAATGTATTGTAATGAAAATTTTATAATTTTAAATCCTAATGCTTATAAATTTATAAAATATTTATAAATTCAAGCTTTATTACACATATTTTAATAAAACTTTTATATTTTATAAATTCTAATGCATATAAATTTACAAAGTTTATTATACTTTCATTTTCTATGTAAAATAAATTTCTATAAGATAACAATCAATTGTGAAGGAATTTAACTTCCTATTACTTATAAATTTCTATTTTAATTATCAATTCTATAAAACTACAAATTCTGTTACTCAATTAAATTAATGTTATAAAAGAATTCTTTCATATAAAAAACTCCAAAACATATATTTATATATAATAATAATAATTCTAAAATTTCAAAACTATTAGTTATAAATATATATTATAATAACGAAATTCTTGTAAATTTAAATTTCGAATACTTAAAAAATTATGTATTATAATAAGAAAATTTTAATTAATGAAATCTCATGCTTCTATATTTGTATATTACTATAATTAAAATAAATTTTATAAATATAAATATTTAAATATTAATTTTTTTTTAATTTAATTTAAATAAATTTAATAAAGAACAAACCTTGTCTAGGAGCTCATAAATTTTATCAACACGACTTTGGGGAGAATTTTCAGTAGAAACAATATCTGTGAAGTTACTTAACATTTCTTGCATTGACTCAATCACCGAAAGCATTTCTTGTTTTTTAACAGATCCGGAATTATTAACATCTAAAATTTTGAAAGCCCCTTGAAAAAATTTAACCATAAATTTTGAGAGAAATTAAAACTAAATCCAGATTATCGTAAATATATACATATAAAGTTGTTTATAATTATAAATAAGTAATCGCTTATAAAAAGATATATTTATTATTAATTACTAAAATTAGTAGTAAATTTTTTTATATTTAAACTTTTAATTTATTTTGAAGTATTAGTAATGATAATTCTGCTAAACAACGAATTTTATAAAAATAAGTATAACAATTAATTAGCTTCACTTTTAAAATATTATTTATATTTATTTTAATTTATAGAAAATGAAAATAAGATTTTTTTTTATAAGTTTCTTTTTGCGGGCTTAAAAAGAATTTTAAAAGCTATAATTTAATTATTTTTTACTATTTTTTTTAATTTTTTTACTTGTTTTTTATTTTAAAAATTTTGAACTTCGTTTTTTGAGTAAATTTACTGCAATTAGAATTTTATGTTTTGAAATAGTAACAACGATAACTCTGCTAAGCAAATATTCAACAAATTTTTCTGTTATATAATTTAAGTTTAAGCTAATAAATTTCTTAATTTAATTTTGTAAAGTTATAAATTTTTTTGTGCACATTTATATATTCTTAAATTATTTAATGTTTTTGTTTTTTTATAAAAATGCTTTAGAAATAGTATATCTAATTAAATGCACACTTTTCTTTTACTTTCTCAAAGTACTTTAAAAAAAAGTTGTGTACTATAAGAAAATTGTAACGCTAAAAATTAATTTAAATAGTTTCTACTTTTAATTTAACTTATATATATAAATATTTATAAAATTTGCAGAGCAGAATTGTTATTATTATTACTTATATATAATTTTGAAACTTTTAATTCAGTAAAATTGGTCATCACTAAAAAAGAATTTTAAAAAATATAAATAAATAAGGAAAATTAAAAAAATTAAACATTAAAAAAAATAAATTATAGCTTTTAAAAAAAATTTATTTAACCCGCAAAAAAAATTTATTTTTTGTTTTGTTTCTTTATAAATTATTAAAAAAAGTAATTTTTAAAAATGTGAAGCAAATAAATTAATGAACTCTTTTTTTATAATTTCGTCTTGTTAAATTTAAATTTAACTCTTAATCCTTTTACTAAAACAATTGATTTGTAATGATTTATCTCAATAATTTATAAAACTTATAATACACGTTTTATTATTTAAAAAATAGGGTAAAAAAGTTAAGCCAAGTATTTTTTTTCTATAATTTGAAATTTTTTTAACTATGAAAGCCCAAATTTTTAAAGATTTAGAAAAATTAAACACATACAGAGTTGAAAAAGATTTACAGATTGTAGAAATAATTAGAATTATACATCATTGTAATAAAAAATTAATTAATAGAATATTTTTTATTAATTTAAAAAATACAAGTGAAAATAAAATAATAATGATAGAAATACAAATTAATTTAAAATTTTGTGAAACAATAATAAAAATAATAATTAAAAAAAGTTTGTAGAAATAAATTTATTAGTATTAAAAGAATAAATAATAATAAACTGAATATGTATAATCATTTTAAGGATATAACCTATGTGGTTTTGAAAAGTGGAATACATATAAAGAACTGGATATAACTAACATTAAGACAAACGAAATTTACAACTAATATAAACTTACAAAAAAAATTTAAATTTGTTTAATTTTTTGAAAAAATTAGTACTATTTTTTGTTAAAAAAAAGTTAAAAAAAAATAATTTACACCTAAAAAGCATTAATTAAATTTACCTAAAATTTAAATTTTTTCTTAAATTTTACCAAAATTTTTTAATTTGAAAATAAAAAACCCATAATACGTTTCCATTATAAAAATACTTAAAATAAATTTTCGTCTTGAAAAAAACTTCTAATTAATAATTAAAGAGAAAAGACTTTGATACTTTATTAATAATTTAATAAGTATTCATCTAAAACTTAACAGTTTAGTTTTTCTTCAATACTCCCACGCGAGGCGATACTTAGAAAAGTTACAAAGTCCACATAATCAATAAAGCCTAACAGAATTAACAGTAAATGGTTTTTGTAAAACTTTAAAAATAACAAAGACCTGATTTTTTAGTATCAAAAACATTAAAAATGTGCTGAGAAAAAGATTCTACTTTTCCTTGAGGAAAAAATTCTCTATACCGCAATATTTAAAACTTTAAATTAATAAAAGTTATTGTTTCTCACAAAAAAGTTATACTTTGTAAGTTTTAAAAAATCTGGCACTGCTAAGTTGCAATGAATTGTTCAAGCAGGAAAAAGAATAAAATTTATTATAAATATTATACAAAAATTCTGATTTTTTAATATAATAAATTGTTTCCAAAAGAAATCAAAAAATTGTGAATTCCTAATTAAATAATTCTTCATAAAAAACTATATTTTATTACATATTTTATAATTAATTTTTTAACTTTCTTATCATTATTATTATATTCTTTTACATTTTTTGTATTCCTCTTTAAGACTAAGTTATCATATTTTAATATATATTTTTATCTTTTCCTTTACTTTCTTATAATATTCTTTATTCAATCATATTTTATCATAGTTTATATATATGATTTTTTCTTTTACTCAGTTTTTTGTTTTTTTTTTTAGATTTTTATTCTATATTAGTTAATAATAGTTTACTATATATTTCATTAATTTTTGTTAGTTTTTCTATTCTTATTATAATATTTCTTGATTTTAAAAAATATTTTTAAGGGTGATCAGTTATAGTTTATTTTATATTATTATTTCATTAAATAATTATTATTTAAATATTTTCAAAATTTTTAGATTTTATTTTAGCCTGAACCTTAATATTTTACAATATTTTTATATTTATCCCAAACTAATTTTAATGGAGGGCACCTTTTATATATATAACTGAGTAAATATTTCCTTTTAGCCATTTCTAAAAACTTTTTTACTTAATTTAAAAATTCTTTCAATTTTCAGGACTTGAAAGGGGTTTTCCTTTACAATCTAAATTACTCTATAAAATTCCCCGAAGGAACGTATAACGTGATCAAAAAAATCTTAAATTAATAAGAAAAGCTTAGAACTATTGTTTATTGCTTTTACAACGCTAAGTGATGAACTCGGAAATTATTTAAGGGCATATAATCTATAAATTGTTTTATAAATAAATAAAGTAATTGTAGTTTTCACTTTTCAAAAAGCTCAAACTCATTCAATTTTTAAAAAAATTTAAAGAGAACTCCTCATATTCGAAATTATAGCTACTCTTAAAATTTTAAATTGTACAAAATTCGTCTGCTTTTCAACTTTATAATTTTTTTTTTTAGGTTACCATTTTTTTCCTTTATTACTTTTTAGAAGCACACCAATTCTTGCTATGTTGAAATAAAATTCAAATTAAATCTTGTAAAAAGCCTGTAACTTTAGGTTAAATACATATTAAATAAAATTTTATGATAAAACTAATCGTATTTGAAAAAAAATTCGGGAAAAGAAAAACTAATAAATTAAAAGTATAAGAAAGTCATTGAAAGCATTCTGCAAAATTATTAGAAAACCTTTATTAAAAAAAAATTAGATAACTACTATTATTTAACCTCTTTATATGAAAACACAAACTAATAATTTATTGTAAATGTTATACGATAATAAAAAGAATTTATGCTAAATAAGCTTGTAAAGTTGGTATTCCACTATTACTGTTGATCGTAAACTACATACGAACTTTACGTTGGAAAAAAAAATTGATAAATAAATTAATATTCTATATCAAGGAAAAAATAGAAAAATAATATACTCAATTATAAAAACTTGTATATGTAAAGTGAATAAGTTTTTGAAAACATAGCCCTTTTTAAAAGTTTCTCAAAAATTCGTTTTTAAAACTCATAAAGAGAATTAGAGAATACATCATAATGTTCTATATAATTAATTAACAAAGTTAGCCAGCTCTAGGTCTTATATAACTTGTTTGTGAAATTATATTTAAGTTTTATAAATGTACTATTAAGTAAAACTCGAGTTAAATTTTATTTGTTTATTTTCAAAAATAATTGTTTTAAATTAATGAAACAAACACTTACCTGTATATTTTATCAAATTCATCTTTTGTTAGGCGCCCAGAGGGACACTCTTTATAAAAACCTTTATACCACAGTTTGAGTTCCTTTCTGTCAACTGGAAAAGAAAAAACTAAATGAGTATTTCGTTTAATAATGTATAATAATTAGAAATAATTAGTCTACAATATGTTTTTGTAACAAGATCATCAATCTTCTCGCTTACGGTCCCTGAAGATCCCGCTCCCATTATTAAATAATAAGTTTAACTCTACTCTTTCAAATAATACGAAGTAGTTAAAAATTATAAACCCTCGCACTCTAGTAGTAAACGTCGACTCGCCACCCCTGGAAAGTTCCGCAAGGCCATTCCACTATCACCGCTGTTATCCCCCTCAATCTATTTAGATTCCCCGCCACGTCAAAAAGTGAACGCCCAAGAAAATCATTTATTAAAGTATGGAGTCCTACCACACTCCATCCTCTTATTAATTATTAACATTCATTCATAATATTCACATTTTTTAACTTTAATAAATGACAGATTTTTCTTGGGGACAGTGTAATCGACCGGAATTTAGATTTTCCACCACGCGAATAAACGGACGCCCACCTTAGAAGATGTAGAAAATCATTTCTTAAGGTATCGAGTCCTCCCAAGCTAACAAAAACCCAAGGATCTTGATACAAACAATTTCCAATTAGTTTATCAGCATCGCAACATGCTATATAATGGAAACTGAGGAGTATTTTCTAATCTAACGGGATTTCTAGGCTCTTAATAGGAGCACTATGCAGTTTTGGTTGCATTTGACCATTGGTTCAGTACCTTTTAACTAGTGAGTCTTGGTACTGCTTTTTGTCTTGAGGCTGTCCGTCTTACAAGGGTCCGTAACAGAAAAGCCTATATCAAAAACGGGATAAAGATTGATGTTATTTTTAAAAAGAAGCCTGGTCAGGTTAAGTTTGCAAACTCTCATTTTTAGGTACCCGATGGATTTTTTAAACGAAAGGATAGAATACCACCTATAAGCATTTCGCAAAATCAAAATTCGCAAAGCCACGAATGGGCCCTTATATGGAAATTACCGTTCCTGAATAAAAAAGAGATAATAGGATCTTAATACAACCAATAAACTCTGAAAGATATACGGTTGTCTAGTAGACAATCGGAAGGAATGGATAAAATAATTGAGAATTGCGCCGAATGCAGGCGAGTTAGGCGACCATGGGAGGCACGCTATCTCCTTTTTTGGAGTGAAAATGAATTCTTATGGGTGCCTGGCTGAAGAGGGTTTACTTCTATATATGGTAGAGTTCTAGTATGCTACTGGTGCAAGTAAAGAAACAATTCGGACTCCGAGCATTTAAGTAAACTGTCGAATATTTGTAACTATTATTCAATTAAACTAGGGCCAAGTACCTAAAAAGTTTTACATAGCTTGTTCACTCAAGCAGCAGGTGGACTTCCCTGGGTATAATTCGCTATTTTGGTTAAAATTAAATTATTTCATTAACAAGGCCCTAAGTAAGGGTAAAAGTAACCTAGAACCTGTCAAAAAGCTTTAAAGGCTTAACTTAATACTCTTATCCACCCTTTCCATTCTAACAAAGCTAAGACAATAACACTATCTAAGGTTAGTCTTTTGGTTAATAATCTATTTAACTTTCTCAAAGGGCTACAAATATGTCCAAGAGGTACGAGTTTTAACGCTCGTCCCCGTTTTTATGTGATGCCTTTGAAGCTTAGTAACCACGCGTCTGCGTTTTTTCAAGGTATTCATGTCATTCGATCCGTGCAACCTCGTTTAAGCTGATAATTACCTTTGAGAAATAATACCTTCGAGCTTACTATAACAAATCTTCCATTTTAAAGCCTAATTCAAGTGGTTGCCGTCAGGTAGTATAGACCTACCTTAGAATAATGCATAACTTCGTTCCCATAAACAAAATACCGGTTCTAAATCACTACCCGATTAAGGTAATCACATTCTTAGCTAACTTTACAGATTACTATACCTCCTAGATTCCTTTTTAAACCTTTGTACAGCAATCTGTAGCTGGTAAAAGATAAGTTAAATTAGTCTTATTACGTAGTATAACTAATCTAGCTCAAACGGTTATAATTATGTACGAGAGGGTTCTTCCTACGCACGGTTCTCACTACCCGTAGACTTTGAACTAGATTATTCTGACTTTTATTTCTAGGGTATTAGACTACGGGGTTGCACTCGAGCATAGCATAGCATAGTACTGTATAGGTAAATTAATTTTCGTTATAGTGTTATTGCTTAGTACATTTTTACACTTTATCAGAATCCTTTAATAGCCCTCTGGTAACTATGCCCAAGACAAAAATAAGGAAGCTTAATGACTTTAGTAAAGAAATTTACTAGCAACAGAACTCTACATTAGTATGGAAACCTTCAGTTTTGCTTATTCGCTTCTGCGTCTATTTTTTAACTTAGCGAGTCTTTCATATAATAACTCTAGCTCTTAAATTTATTGAACTAAACTTTATAGTATTAAAATATCTTTTTGACTCAGTAATACACTATAATAAATTTTTTAAAAAGCAGAAATTGATGTTACATAAACTTACTGGCAAAGTTAATACTGCGCCTGTGGGTAACAGGACGTAAAAATCTAATAGATAAGCGGCAAATACAGTTCATCTGTTAAAGACTTTATTATATAATAATTGTTTAGATGCAGGCTTTATCACCTTGTAGGCTATACAAGACAGCGAAGCAAGAACTAAAAACTAATTTTTTTTACTAACTTATTTGCATATATCAAGCTCGCTAATTTATATAAAAGCTATCTTAGATTAAAAAATTTCAAGGGCCATTGTTCGAAAAGTAATTATGTCAGTTAAATGTTCTTCAAGTTTTTTTTTGCTTCTACTATATAATACCGGAGAAGGGTGTCTATTTCAGGAATAATGTTTTAAAACTTCTTTAGTTGCTAATAGGAATAATTTTGAACCTTTTTTTTAATTTTGCCATTTTTGGGGTGTAGGCCAATTTCTAAAGCCTAAAACCTATTGAAGAACAACTAGAGTTATAATTTAAAACATGGATAACGCCTGATTAAAATGGCCAATGCCTGTAGGAATAGGGACTAATATGAATCTAGAGTGGAATGTTAAAAAGCAAATAGAACATGTATAATTAAGCCTCCTATACTTTAATCATATTCCACTTTTGAAAATTTTAATAACTACTTAAATAATAAACAATCATTTATAAAAAAAATTAGATATTATTTTAATCTCACTAAGAATGAGAAATAAAATTTTATTAATCATTACTGAATAAACCCGTGAGATCTTAAAAAAAACAAGCCAATGTTCCAATGTATATAAACACTAATTCCATAAAACAGAGTCAAAGGGAGGACAGGAGAGAGAATATAGACTGTTTTACGCAAGAAGGGAAGAGCTTTTGCGAGTGAATTGTTAATTGAATTCCATTATTAATTTAATAAATTAGATTGACTTACCTTTATACCCAAGAAAAGTTGTATAACAATAATAACAAGAAGCTATTAAAAACAAAGTGTTGGAGAATAAAAGGCTTAAAAAGCTCGTGGAATTAATGATCGGCTTAAAAAATAAATGAAGAACTGCAATTGTATTAATACTCTTAAAAAAAGCGTGAAAATAGTATTATAAAAATTACCATATAAAATTAAAAACAGCGGAAAAAAAGAATTGCAGTGAATATCGAAAGCGTATGCCCATTCAATGGATTGTGGGACAGAGTGGGGAGGAGACTGTAGCAGATATTTATTTCCTATAAAACTTAATTGTGGTAAATCTACAAATAACGGTTGAGAAAATAAAAAAATTATAAAAACCATAAAAGCGTTGAGATGACCGCACCCAAACCAAAAAATTCGATAAGGATAAGGCGACATACGAAAATTATAAACAAGCGTAAGGAGAAGCGAAAGTATACATAATATCCGCAAGACGTCACTGTGAAATTAAAAAATAGTTAATTTTTTTTAAAATTTTATTAGTTATAGGCACCAAATAAAAAGAACCGAGTAGAAAAATTATAAGGAGAACAAGAAAAGCAGGATCATCTCTGGCCCACTGGAGCTTAGTTTCTAAATAAAATGTTACTATAAACCATTGATAAACATAAATAAACTTAAAATTAGGTTAATAAACATTGTAAAACTGTTTAACTTACGTTTATTATAGTATATGTTCTCATAGCTTTCTCCAAATTAATGGGAGGGTTAGAAAAAGTGAGTATGGATATATTTCTTTATTTTAAAAAGTAGAAACTTACACTTTTTTAGGTTGATAACAAAGATTTTTTAAATCAGAAAAAGCTACTTCAAAATCCATATGTTGAAAATAAAAGATGCGCTTCCAATATCTGCTTAGTCTCCTTTCTTGCATCTTAGCCCATATATAAACTTAAAAAGTGGTATGATTACTGTAAACAACGTGTACCATGTTCAAAAATTTGGTAAACTTTTATAAATTGAAAAGCATAACTTGAAGAATAATTTTTTTTTTAAGGGTTTAAAAATAATTTATAGGGTGGTGTAGATAAAAATAACTCTTTGAGCCGATCTACACACTAGATATTATAAACTTAACTCCCTTATAAATAAAATTTAAGCCGCGTCGGGCAAATATACTAAAATAAACTTGATGCAAACTATAAATTTGCATAAAAATTTTTTTACAAAGCTTTTAAAAATAGCAAGGGATAAGAGAGTTAGCATAGACTAGCACGTGGGGGGGGAAGTACTTTTTTCTCTTCTGTTTTTACTTTTTGTGGGCTGGCCAAATTTTATTGTAAATAGTTTTAGGTATATACTTTAAAAAAGCTTTAGTTTAAAGATACTTCTGTTATACACAAATATTTAATATGATATCGAGATTAACATTGAAAAATGAAAGTTCATAAAAAGATAGAATATAGTATCAAGAAAATATATTTTAATGTTTTATTTGAAATTCAGAGTTCAGATTATAATAAAGTCGTTTTAAATAAAAGGAAAATACTTTAAGTAAATTATAAATTATTATTCGACACTTTTTTTTCAAGTTTTATACAGAACTTTTTGGTGAGTGTATATTGCTAAGGAAGTACTAATTTGGAATTGTAGTAATTTAATAAGATTTTGGGTGAAATTTAGTTACGCTTATAAAGTAATTCGATTTATAGTATTATTACAGCTGGGTTTATATAAGCATTTTATTATATTGAGAAGAAAATTAGCAAGTTAGACTTCCTTATATGTTCCTTGTGAACTGCCTCTTTATTGTTTATGTATGCACCGTTTTTAGTTAAAAAGTTGTTATATTCAAAAGCAAATTATAAATTTTTTTTAGTACTACGATTCTTTATGTTAATTTTTTTTTTTTACTTTAAGGAATTGTGAGTTGCCAAGAGATAACTCATTTTTTGACAAAAAATGTTTAGAAGAGTGAGGTGTGTTCTTAAGATTTCTTTTTTGTGAAGTAAAATACTTTGCGCCCTAATTTTCTCTTAACTTTTTTTTTTCAATATAAGCTTACTTTTTGGTTTTTCCTATTTATATTGGACCAGTAAGCTATCTTATAAAGTTGTACTTTATCATCTAAATAAATATTCAAGTCATGTAGAAATGAGCAATTTTAATGTATATTTTATACGGCCAAAACAGCTTTTGTGAGAAAAAGGCAAATAAACATGAAAAAGTTGAAAACTTTCTACAACTTATTTATGCCTGCACCAACTTTCGTTGGTAAAGCGTTGGATACACTTAGAGACGTTTACCTTTAGCATTCTTTTTTTGGATATTTTTAGCTGATAGTTCTAACCCTACCCCTCACCTAAACTTATAGCTGCTCCTACCTTGGTTGCGGGTATAAATATAAATATAACTAAAGGTTGGAGATTATTTATTTTACTTATTTAAGACTTTCGCATTAAACTTTTTAAATTTCGATTCAAAACTTTTAATACACGTTCTCTTAAAATTGTAAATTTTTTTTTTCTTTCTTAAACTGAGCCTTGGCCATCCCCGTATAGTTACACACTTTAACGGAATATTTTTAATAAAAAAATAAGACTGCTGCAAGTATTTAACTGCTTTTTTAAGTATTATAAAATTTCCTAAAAGGGTTCAAAGAAGATAAGATGCAAAATATTTTAGCTGGTTTTGTAACAAGTGAGTGGAGTCTTTTAGAAAAACATAAATCTATTTTTTTTTTAAGTTTTTTACTTAAGACTTGTTATCAAGTGGATTTACCTGGATCAAAAGTATAAAAGAGGTTGAGTTTTTTTTTTGAACAGGTAAAGATTACGCGGATGTTACATAAATTTAGTGAATTAAAATTCATTTATTTTTTGGTCATAACATTAAAACGCTGCCAATCTTGTTCTCGTCCTTCATACTTAATGCATGTTCTTAAGTGTTTCTTAGCAGTGCGGTCGAGCGGGTATTTTTCTAAGTAACTCTCAAATTTAGCACGAGCTTCAATAAGTTTTCCGAGAGAGTAGAGATTAAAAGCTTCGATAAATAAATCCACTTTTTCCTTCTAATTAATATTATTAATTATTAATATATTTAGACTATCTCAGTTAAATAAAATAGTAATAACAAATGCTACTGGAAAAAAAATGAAAGCTTCATTGTTTTTCAACGTTTATATACTAAAATCAGTTCTTCAAGCTTTTTATAGAACTTTAACAGGGTATACGTTTTTTTTTTATTTAATATATAAAATGGTTTGTTAGTACAAAATTTCTTTGTAAATATACAGGAAGCCGATTAAAGTCTACCTCTGCAGGCTGCGCGTCTTGCAGCTTTCCAATAAGCTCGTACACCAGCAGAGGCTTCGTTTTGCCTTTGACTACCACAATGTCCAACGGCCGGCAGAGATAACGGTCTGATCAATCGCGATTGAAATTCAATAAATGCTGGCCAATCATTTTTCGTCTTTTTAATTAACCTCGAATGAAGATGTGCGTGTCTTCTGTGACAATTACATTAGTTCCGTACATTACATTCAATTTTTGAACTCTCTATTGTGGTGTAATAATTGAATACTATTTTTATAGTAAGTCGTACAAAACTTATAACGAAAAACATTTATTTAGTAATAATTGTAATTTGCCAGAGATATTAAATTATTACAAGTAATAAACTTTTCCGTTTTTTTTTCATAATTAAAGAGTACCAGAATATAGCATTTCTTACCAAATAACAAAAAGTTTATTTTAAAAAATTTGCGAATTTTTAATATATTTGGCACTAAAAAATAGTTTTCCCTGCACTCTGTTTCACGCGCTACAATAAAAAGTATGAAAAGTGTATGAAGCCCTTGAGGCAACCAAGCATAATAGGTTATTATAAGCGCGTCAACTACATATTCTGCGGCCGAGCAATAATGTAGTGACAGAAAAATAGTCGTTACAGGACCAGTTAGAAAGTGGCTTTATTTAGTACTATTAAAAAGTAAAAGGGTAATTTTTTATTATTGGCTGATCACATCGAAAATCTACCAACTTAATAGCGGTCAAATAATAAAGATAATAAGCACTCGTTATTTATACGTAAGAACATGTCGAAAGTTATTATATTTGTAGAGGCTATTAAGTTTATAACAAATAAAAAAGATTTATAGTAATTATTTTTATTAATATCAGATAACATTTTATTAAAAAAAGAATAATTATAATAAAGAATTGAAAAATCACTAGTGAACATAATAATAAAATTAACAAAAAAAATTTAATTATAATAAATAACAAACAACAATAATAAAAACATTAACATTAAACCATCTTAAATAGAAATAATAATATAACAAAAATAAATATTCAATCTAACGTTAAAAAAACTTTATTAATAAAATAATAATTACACAAAATAATGAGAGAAACTTTAAGAATTATAACAGTTAACCTGCCTTATGGAAAAATTAGTAATAGAATTGTTAAAAGTTTATTATTATTTGCATTATTTATTCATTCTTATTATCTCTGTTATTATTATAATTATTACCGAAGCAATATTAACGTTGTCTCCAAATGCAGTATAATTTAAACGCGAAGAGGATCCAAAGTTTCCAACCAAACAACTTCCTTTATTATTTATAAATATTAGTAATTTCTTTCTCATTTTACTTGTAAAAACTTCATTTTAGAAATATTTATATAAGAAAAAGTTTTAATATAACAATAAGTGAAAGCATCCCCAACATAAAAACTATAACGTTTGTTGGTGCAAATTTTTTGGTAGTAAAGATACAGAAGATAATTCATAAAAACATTTGGTAAAATAATTATAATAACGCTAAATAAATTAGTTTGGTAACAATATAGTGAAAGCTGCAGTAAATAATTCCTTTTTTATAGAATATAAAGCTTTCTTAACTCCTTAGTAGATTCTATGAAAGTCTACTGGTTTATATTAAAGCAGTAGGCTTCTATTTTTATGAGTTTGTGTAAAACTATAATGTATAAGGAAATGACTTCATTAAAAAATTTATTAACCCCATTTCAATAATATTTACTACTTATTAAGAATTTATTCTGAAATTTATTTAAAATACTAAAGTTGTGCTACTGTTTCTATTAGTGATGCTTTGCGTAATGATAATATTTTATTAGAACATAATTTTTATATATATATGATTATTGTGAATTTTTTATATATGGAATATTTTATATTTAGGTTTATTTAAATATCAATATATTTTTTATATTTATTGTTACTTAGTGATGCCTTGCATGTTTATTATATTTACTTTCATATTATATATTTTTATATATAATTATTATCATCCTTTATTATTTATAGAATATTTATTTTTATATTTATTATAAATACTAAAGTTATTAATAATTATATTTTATATATTATTACTATATCTTTTTATTTTTTTTAATTAGCTTTCTAATATTTTAGTATATAGAATAACTAAAATTTATCAAATTACTATTATAATAATTATTATCAAAAAGTTATATTTATATAGTAGTAATATTATTAGTATTACTTTTTATTATTTTTATATTATTATTTCTTTAACTTGACTATAAATCGCATGATATTGACAAACTTGTATTATCAATGACTATTATTATTATTATCAGTGCCTATTGTTATTAGTACGGTGTACCCGTATGAATTCCAATAATAATATCAAAAGCTGGTAAATGCTTGCTTTTCATGTCTATAAAAAAATTATAATTAAAGTTTATATTAAAATTAAGCAGAAAAAAAGATTTTATACTTTTATTGAGCTCTTCGAGTTCGGTACTAAACTTTAGCGCAGTTTCGCATGCTTTAACGGGATGCTCAGAAACAGGCTCTATAAAAAATATACTAAAGGTAAAAGACGGTAAAAAAAATTATAGAAAAACCTATAAAAAAAAAGGTATTATTTACTTAATAATAATAATAAAAAAAGTAGACCGCAGGTAACACTAGCAATAGCGATCAACTAAAACAGAATCTACGCAAGCCACGTAGTTTATAACTATCACTTGTCTTTAGGAGCCAATCAGTATTACCCGGTGCGTTCCACAGCGCCATCAGCGATTCGCCGAGATATTTGTCCACCGTTCCTTCATGCTCTTCAATAAGCTTAGTGACTTCCACATAAAAATCTCTGCAGTTTTATAAAGATTATAACATGCGAGATGTAAATTTAATACTTTTTATTTTATTTTATATAATTACTATTTACATTAAAAAAAAGTTGTTAATAAATAGTGATATAAAAAAAATTGTGAAGTGTCTACAAAGCCTTTTCCTTCTAAACCCTAAACTCTGCAATGTCCATTATATTTCTAGCATGTTGCAAAAGCAAAGCAGCCTCGTTTTGTACCAATTAAAAGATCATAATAAAAATGTAAAAAGTACATTATTATATAATTTGTGTTAAAATAAGTTGATTGATGTTAATTATTAATTTGTATGATGTAAGGTGGTTATATTGCTGCCAATAATAACCTTAGCGTGTTAATTAGTTGCTCCGTATCCAAATCTTGTGCAATAGTAGAAAAGTTTTCTATTTCTGCAAAAAAAATCTGAAAAGAAATAAATAAACAAATAATTAATAAAATTATTATTGTCTTTAAAAAAAACAAAATTTTTAGAGCCAATCAGCTTTATAATAAATATTTCCCCAATTAATTAACAGCAAAATAAGAATGAAGTATTTATTTTTTGAATAACACAATGAAATTATAAGCCAATCAACTTTAAAAAAAATATTTCTCAATTAATTAACGATAAAATATTTATTTTTTGTACTGTCAAATTACGACGACTTGCGCCCACTGATGCGATGCTATTGGAGATAAGAATTTTTTTTACGACTCCTTCCGGGACATATTTTATAAACGACATTAACGACGCGCGAATCTATTAAAAATAAAAAACAAGTAAAGATAATTGAAATATTAATAAAATTAACGAAATAGCAAAGAATCTTTTTCGTTACTTTGTTCAGTCCTTGATTCACCCGGGCAATTTCTTTAATCTAATAATAATAACATTGTCTATAAAAAAATATATAAATTCAAGCTTATTATATATAATTTTATGTAAATAAAAATATAATTCACAAATATTATGATAAAGCAAATATATTTCATTGCATTTTATTAAAAAATATATTAATTTTTGTATAAAATTAAAAGTTACGATATATTTATGTTAATAACGTTCTTATTATATTTTGGTATAAAAAGCTTTTAATATGTAAACAATAATAATATAAATTACTTTATCACTTATTTTTTTATCATAACTTTTATTAAAAGTTTTTTTAAGAAATTTAAAATATTCTTTTTTTAATAAACTTTATACCTTTTTTACTTATTGTTATCTAACTCATTAATATAAAAACTTTACTATTAAGTAATTATTTATAAGTTTTTTATATATATTGATAGTAAATTATTCTTGTTTATAATATTTACAGGCGAATTTATTCCTGAATAAGTAAAGTTTTCGGAAAAGTCTAGTTGAGAAAAGGCGCGGAGTTGTTTAGTGCAGTGATTTAATTGGTATGTTAAAAGTTGGGTCGCTAGTAATAATAATGAATGATAATAATAATGGCAAATAATAATGAAAAGAAAACCGGCGAGAGAAAAAAGAAGCAAACACAGAAAAAAAAATCCGACAGACACGGAAATGCTAATGGTGGCCACGCGGTTGAAAAGCGATACAAAATCAGACTCGGGAATTACAATCTAGAACCAAATAACAATAAAGGGAATGCAAATATTGAAGTTATATTTGGAACGGCTTATTGTTACTTGGAGCAAATAATGGTCATTTGTAAAAAATGTGTAATACATTCGGCGATGCGTTGAGGTATAGAAAAACAACCAACCACAATGACCCACGTGGACTTCCCAACCGAAAAGTGCGTCATTGAAAGGATAGTTGATGCCACATAACAAGTTTTCTGACACAAAATAATAACTTGTAGGTAAAAAATAAACATTGGTTGCGCACGTGCCTGGTAGACAGTAGATGTAAATTGGCACTTTTCTACAAGAATTTTCTCGGCTATCGCAATTCGTTCATTATCACTCTAAGCCCCCCAAAAAAGGGGGAAAAACTAATAATGTTTTCTGTGAGCACCCAATAAACTACGTTAAATAGCTGCCTGGTTCACTAAAATTCGAGTCCCATTAGGGTAAGTCACTGGCGCGTGCAGGGAGTTGGCCACTAGATAGTCTGTTTTCAGCTCTTTAACGTAGGAAAAGCCTGTGTCATAGTATTTCTGAAGGGCTGTACAGCAAGAAAAATGATGAAAGTTTATTTTAAAAAAAATTGCTCGGCGCAAACTTGTATGAATTAAAAAAGAAAGTTGATAAGAGTGAAAAAAAATAAAAGTTATAGATATTAAACATAATTATTATATACTAAAAATGTTGATTTCCTAATAAAAAGTAAAATAGTTTAAGTAAAAATAGTGAAGCCACCGAGAATACTGCTGAGGCCGCTTAGCACCAAGTCAATTCCAATCACGTATTTCAGAGGATATCCAGTATCAAAAGGCACGCGATGCGCTAATAAAAATATCACATATTCCTTAAAAAGTATAATAGCGGCAGTTGGATAATATTTTTTTATATAAAGTATAATATATTTTTTAATTTATAGTAATTCTCATTTAATCAAATATTATGTAATGAAAATATTTTATATATTTTTCTTATATTAAGTAAATTTATTTTGAACAATAATAATAATTACCATTTAATAAATATCATGTAATAATAATAAAATATAAAGGAAATAATAGTTTTTATATTTTTTATAAAAAAAATTATAAATTTCAGAGAGAATAAAAGTTTATAATATAAAAAGTATTAGTTGTGATAACAATAATAATTACGTATTTATAAAATTCTAGCAAACTTTATATACAAATATATAAAAGTTATTAATACATTTAATAAATAAACTTTTCAGTAAAAGTTATTTAAATTTAGCAATACATATTCTTTATTAATTTTTATTTAGATTTTATTATACAAATTTATTTATTATTATGAATATTTGGTTTTATTTATTTATTTATTTTAGTTATTTAGTATTTATATATTTATTATTTTATTATTAAATAATAATTTAAACTTTTTTATTAATATTTTATTTTTAGTTTATTTATTGATAATAGTTATCTTAATCTTTTTGAGTGTGTGTGGCACTTAGACACTTAAATATTACAATTCTCAGAGAAAACGGCTTTAGCAAATAATATTAACTTTTCAATACTAAATATATTTATAAATAGTATATCAAAAAAAAGTAAACACAAAAAATGACGATAATATATATAAATATTATTAAAAGTGTTTACAAAGTTTGCAACTTTTTTTTTAAAAAGAAATCCAATTCGTTATTGTTGTACTTAAAATAAAAACTTTTATTGTTATCATAAAAAAAAAGTACACGCCGTCAGTCCCAATACTGTATCGTCACTGGAGAACGAAAAAATGTCCGTCCAAAAAACGCTCGTACAGTTGACCGCTTCGCCATACCAAAGACGTTGCTGAAAAAAGAAATAATAAAACACGTGACGGATCTAAATTAGTCAATAGGGACCAGTGGATTCAGAATTCTGTACTTCCCCTCGACCTCTTTTCTGTCCGCGTAATTGGCAATAGCGCAGGAATAGTTGAGCGGCTCGCAGTGCCGGTTTACTGAATATTGCATCAAAATATAATCTGGCGGCTCTGCAATGTTCAAGGCTTTTGGTGCGCTATGATTATACGTTATCGTCGCCCATTCAAATGACTTAAATATGATGAATATATAGAAAATAATGAATATATAAACAAAATATTATATAGTATTTCTCTACAATAAAATTTTTAATACATTAAGAATAAAATAATCAATAGAACTACTTTTCATTAACAAAAAAAGCAGCCAATAAAAAAAGCTATTTAAACATGAGCCAATTAGAACTTTTAAGTATAAAGAATTAAAAATTCATATATTTCTAACTTTTTTAAATGAAACTTTTTATATGCAAACATGGCTTTATTTTTTATGAGAACCATTTCTTGAGTGGAAGAGTACATGGAGGCCGCATAAAATTTAGCGGAAGGCAAGTTTGTCCCAATAAACATCTGCGGGGTAAATGGCGGATACGGATACGATAATAGTCTATTGAAAAATTTTATCGTAAATAGTGTGAATTTTTCATTATTATTATATATTATAAAAATATCCCGAAAATAATTAAAAATGGTAAATAAATTATATATAAAAGTTACCCGATAAAAATATGAATTGTAAAGAAAATAGTAAATATAATATTTAAATTTAAATAACTATCATATGTATGAAAAATAGTGAATCTAGAAAATTAAATATAAATGTGATAAATATAAATAATAATAAACAGTAAAAAAATTGTTAACATAATAATTACATAATTTAAAAAATAATAATGAATTGTAAGAAATTAGTGAATTTTTTACAGTAAAAAATATAAAAGTGATTAAAAATAAAAATCAAAAATGGCATCACTAATAAATTTTATGTTCAATGATAATTATGTAAAACTTTTTACACAAAAGCTTTGTTACAGTTATTGATATACAAAACTACTAACATTTATTCAATAAATAAAATTGTAAATTTTTTATAATATAATATTTATTATTAAATTTTTATTAAATTTTTATATTATTATTTAATATTATTTATTATAATTATTTGTTATTCTTATCATTTTATTATTGTTGTTCTTGTTTATATATCATTATTATTATAGACAAACCCTGAATACGAATATACGTAGTAAATAGTGTGCAACAGATAATTTGCTATTCGTTCGTCTACAGGGCCATCGTAAAGCGGTGTGTTGAGTATAGTGGCAGCCGTCACAACAGTAGTTTCTACTGTTTATAGGAAAAAAAATAAAGCAAATACAATTAATAATATTATTTTTTACCGCTCTCTAATATTAAACGGAAAGTACTGACCACATTAGAAAGCACCTATTATTCATAATAATTAGTGCTTGCAATATAATAATTATAGAGAAGAAGAAAAAATGAACTTTTGCTTAAAATATTATTAGATAATAACTAAAAAAAAAATATTTTTATTTATAACTTTTATAATGAATTGAAAAATTATAGTGAACGTAATTACCAATGACAAGACCTCGTGAAATAAAGTCGACCAATAAAAAATAAGTTAATAATTTTAAAAAGGAAAATAAATTAAATATATTAAATGGTAATAAAAAAATTATAATATTTTAATATTAATAAGAAAATTAATAAATCTATAATTTAAAAAAAAACCAAAAAGATTTACATACTTTCTTTTTCTATATATCAAAAAAAAAAAAAATTCTAATATATTAAAGCATCCATACTAATAAACTTTAACAAAGTTATTACAAAATTAGAAGTTTCCTTGTTTTACTCATAAAAAATATTATAGATAGATATTTATAAATAATTTTTTTATAATAAAAGAAGATAATCTACAAGCTTTACTTTTTGCGAGATTCTTTCAGCAGACAGACGAAGTTGATTAGAAGCAGAAGTGTAGAACATCAACGTTACGAGCGTAATAACAATTGTAATAAGAAAACTCATAATAAGAATTAGTAAAGTGCGCAGCGAGAGAATCTTCTTCAGCCGTAAATCAGTGGAAGGCGCAGAAAAGGTACTCGATCTTTTCTTTCGACTACCATATTATCAAAAAATAATAATAATACTAATATGTATTTAAAAATATTGTGATAGTAATAAAAAATATAGTAATTATTACTATCATTAACAAAAATAGTATAATAAGTAAGAAAACGTTGTAGTATTAAATTTCTGAGCATCTTCTTCGTGTGTCTGGTACAATTTATACTGTTTTCTATTGAACTATGATATAATAATAATAATAATAATAATAATAATAATAATAATAATAATAATAATAATAATAATAATAATAACAGTAATGAACTTTATATATACTTTTCATACCGAAGTATCGAGATCCCTTAACTTTAATGTTCTCTCACAGCAGAGCTTCGAATCTACTAATAATAGTATCCTCAGAAGTTCAGAATCTGCGAGAAAAAAAAAGTTTTTTATTTTTATTATTTTTATAACAAACTTGAGAAAATAAAATAAACATAATAAAAGTTAAAAAAAAAAAAGAAAAGCATAAAAAGAAATTTTTTTATTATAAATGTTGGTATAAAATATTTTTTTATTTTACTAGCAGAAAATAATAAGCAAACATTGCTAATGGCTATTGGTTGTATGCTGGGCCAATAAAAATCTATATAGTGCGAAGGCTTCATGGGTATGGCCATAAGTTCCGCTCAAACTTTTTAATAGACTTTACTTTTACTTATAAATTTATTATACGATTTTATAAATCTTTACATTTATTTATTTTAAATTTATTTATTATTAATTATAGTATCTAATATTAAATAAAAAATTTAAATTATATATTTATTATATATAAACAACTTGTTATTTCTATTATTATTATAAATTATACTATAAAATATTATTAATTATTCATATTTATAAAAACTTATTTATTAAATATTTTTAAATTATCGGTTAATTTTTACTTATGTTTATTTTTCTATTTAAAGCATATAATTATTATACTTATACTTAATAATTTATATATGTAACTTATTATTATTATCACTAGCGGTATGAACTCTATTATTATACAACTTGTTTCAAAGTCCTTTAGAAAATTTCAATTAAACTTAAATATTTTTGAGGCGCCATTCTTTTAGCAAAACTTGAAAGTTGTATATTTAGTTTGTACTTTCTTTAACAAAACGAGAAATCTTATTTTTAGAAATTTAATTTAGCACGAGATCAGATTTATTATTTTTATAATTAATTATTTTTGTCACAATCATTTATGAAAAGAACTAACATTTTAAATAAAAATTTTTATTTTTGTATACTTTTATAATAATCTAAACCTTTAAAACTTGCGTTAGACCTGCTCGCATCGAGAATGGAAGATAAATTAATCGTTAAAATCTCGTTCCATACGGGACAGAATTCCAAGTAAACTTCTTTCCTAACAACTTTAATTAAAAAAAATTAAAAAACCTGACGTTCTTAAGTAAATAAATAGATATAATACCCAAAAAAGCTTAATTAAGAAATAAAAATTTTAATAAATTAAACATTAAAAAAAATATATTATTGATACCAACTATAATTTAAGCTCATAATACTATAAAACAATAATTAAATTTTTAATAACTTATTGAATTAAATATTATAAAAAAAAGGTCATTATTGAGTTAGAGTAATAATTAACAATTTAGAAAAAAAATTAGTCACTAGTGAGGATGGCTCCAGGACATTCAATAATTTTGGAACAGATCCCAAACTTGCATTCTAAATAGATTTTAAAAAAACATAGTAACAATATAAGTACTTCTATAAAGAAAAAAAATTAGTGTGTATTAGAAAATTCTATCAATTCTCACCGAATTCACCAATGACATGACATTCTACAGAAAAAGTTTTTAAAGGCGAGGAAGCGCCGCTATTTAGAAGAATAATTAATTATAAAAATTATTATAATAACTTAAACCAAAAAATAATATAAAGTTTAAAGGAAGTATCGACTGAGATTCCCAAAGTTGACTAAAATCAGCCGAGCGACGGTCTACGCCAGGCTCGCTAAGGCTTCCAGAACTTTTTTGATCTAAGGGATTTTAAAGTGGATTTTTGTTTAAATTATTTTTTTAAATTAAAGACGTCACTGGTTTTAACCGTTTTCAGCATTTATAATAAAGTCTTCTGCCTTATTTCTTTCAGCCAAGTATGTTTCATGCAGTTTACTTAGGTGACCTTTGAAGGTCGTACAGCAAATAAAAAATTTACTTTGTACAATTAACTATTGTTAGTCAAAAAGTTGATTAACTTACCACCTACGAGATGAACTAAGAGTAAAGGGTGTTCAAAAGCAAAAGCAAGGCTCAACTCAGCGTGAATGGAAGGTTCATTTCGAGCATTTTTATCACTAAAGATAATTACTTCGTTTAAACAAATATCTAAATCCATTATTAGATCTTACTAATACTGCTTATTATTTTACTAGTACGTCTTTTTTTAAGCCAAATAAAGTCTTTCTTCTTATAAGCGCCGGTAAAACAATTTTAATTTTTATTTAAATTGTAAACCTTTATTAAATTTTATTTTAATTATAGACTTTTTAATAAAATCACAGCCTACAATATTTTGACTAAAACTATTGTTTACCTTTTTTTTTCTGAAGAAAAAAATGATCCGCTATTGTATTTTCGCATAACAGTTAGATATAAATATGCACTACACTAAAGCCCAAAAGAGCGAATAAAAAATGTTTATCAAGTAACCATTAGAGGACTGTCAGATACCCTCTGATAAGATAATGCCTACCACTATTAAAGCATCTCTATCAAAATATTAAGGCTGCGATCAAGAATTTAGGTTTTTTTTAATTTAGAACTTTTAATAAGATATACATATATTTATTAATAAAAATTCGAAAGATCCCAGCTAAATTTTACATTATAGTACCTGCACTGAAAAGTAGTATATAAACATCTGTTTTTTTTATTAATATTGACTTAAACAGTTTCCCCGTAAAATCAAGTGCAAACGGTATAAAAGATCTCCATAAAGAAAGCCAAAGAAAAAAAAAGAGAATTTTCTTTGTTTTTTTAAACTTTTTATACTACATGAAGTAACTGCGTTCTTATTTATGGTTAACGTTAACAATATGGTTTTCTTGTATTTTAACAGTTACTTATAGGGGCGATCATATATTTGTAAACATCCCATGTCTCGTCGCCTACCTATCTGTCTCACTTTTAAGACTAAGTAATCGATCAAAACTAGTAAACTAAAAGGTTGCTATTTCAGCCAGGATTGGTTTTTACGCTTTTTTTAAATATAAGAATACTGATAACTTAAAGCCGGAAAATAGAGATATAAAAAAGCAAAGAGTAATTAATTAGAAACTCTACTTTACAGAACACTAAGAAAAAATTAAAAAAACATATTATAAATAGAAGAAACAAAAAATGATATTAGTTAGGGACAGAATAGGGGGCTTAAAATAGACAAGGAGTAAAAATCACGATTAATAACATAACTTAAAAAGTAAGAGATTTATAGAACTTTGAATTTGGAACCCACAGTGGTGATTAGCTGTTACTACTCTAAAGGTTGTAATCTTCTCTGGCAATATTAAGCGTGCAACCTTGAATTAAAAGAGTCAGAATATATTTAAGGAAATAAAAAAAAAGTTAACTAATTAGCTTTAAGCAGATATGATTAAAGAACTAAGATCTTATAGCAAATAATTAAACTATTGCGCAACTATATCAAAGCTACGCACAGGAGGAAATAGAACTTGAAGAAAAGACCGTAAAATAAGAACTAGAGTTAAAAATTGGATGTAGAAGCAAAAGTAACCTAACGAGAAAATACGCTACAGGCGCTTGATATAGAAAAAGTAACAGAAGTGGAAGTCTTATATATCTGGTTAAATGCTAAAAACGCAAAGTATAAAATTATCATGCACCTGGTGCTAGTAAGCATTAACTTAAAGTATACCAAAAAAAGTTTTTTTAACAAAATTAATTACAATAGCAACAAGCTTATTTGAGTACGCAAAAAGTCTACTGAGTTTACGGAGTTGCTAGGAACAACTTAAAGAAAGAACAAAACCATCGAAACTTTTTATGAGTACTCCAATGCTGCGTCAGAATTATATTAATGGAGATATACATGCTTGAGCATTTGATTAACGGAACCATGACCCGGAACCCAATAAGTGAAAAATTCATAGCGGTTGATAAAATCGTGAAAGGTGCGTAAAAGTTTAGATTGTTTAGCACTTAAAATGAACGAGTGCGCTACATATTAAAATAGTTACAACGCACATGAGGAATTGTTAATGACAAAACGCGCACAAGAAGAATTTATTCCGAATAAAAAGAATTTTTGTTAGCTCTTCGTAAAATTTAAAGAAAAATTAATTTAAGTTACACACGAGATTTCAAAGAATTAGTGAATATCAATCATTTTTTACATGGGAGTGTCGAAAATATATATGTATACTAGTAAATAACACTTAAAAGAATAGCAGAAGCAAGATAATAGCTAATTCCCTAGCAATACTACTAAAAAACCAAAGAAATCGCAGTCAGCTCCCAGTCAAACATCGGTAATTTTTTAAGATATTTCGACTTTATTTATAGCAACACAAACCTTAAACTTTAGTGTTGCCCCAAAAAATAGGCAAAGTGCTTGCGTTTTAAACTCATGTTTACAATGGAAATGGAGAACCCTTTAACTGGATAAAAATATTCAACGATACCTTATAAATTTACAGGCAATGTTCTTTCTTTGAACAGTTATAGGCCTGTGACGCATTAACACCACTCTTTCTACAATCCCTTTTGTAAATACTTAAATTTTCAGTTTATTAAAAAGCTTTGGTCAGTTATCTTTCTTGGTAGCCTCTTTTATTCGTAATATTATAAATAAACACTGCTACTAACCGTGCGACACCAGACCAATTGCCAAAATCACTCTGGCTTCACCACGTGGGTGGAAAAAAGCAGTTCGAAGGAAAGGAAATTATTAACATTATTATATTTATTAATCAAAAAGTGAGCACATTTTTAAATGTTAAATGGAAGAAAATAAAGTTATTAAATATAAATCTTTTAAATTCCTGACCAAAAAATTAACCTCCTTCTAAAAGTAAAACGAGCCTTTGCTTACAGATCATTGATTTAGTATTACTTTTACCTTAGATTCACCACACAGTTTTTAAAGCACTTAAAGCATCTCTGTGAATTGGTTTACAATTAATTTTTTTTCGCTACTCCAATTTACACCTTTACGAAAGAAATTTATTTTAAAATTTATTTCTTGGCTTGTTTAAGGGCTTATTAGTCTAAGCTGTGTGTTGATCAGTACCGTTACAGTTTTAAGCCAGGTTTACGCTATCTCGATGTTTGACTCAAAATAACAAAGCCTTTTGCAAATTTTATTAATTATTAGCCTTTTTTATAACCATTAGTGTAGATACTTCTTACAAAGAGTAAAAAATTAGTGAAGGGATAAATCAGTTTGCCAGTTAACCAAATTTTTTTTTAATATTAATTACGAGTTGCAGTATAACTAATTATATCAACCATCCTTTCTACCTCATTATTTTATTACTGCAAGTAAGGTTAAGTTCTAATTACCTAGGCCGCAGTACCTCGAAATTCATTTTTAGTATTTAGAGAGTGTCCGCGCGATATCAAACCCTCCTTAATGATGCAAACACGCGATACCGCTTTATAGCTGTAGAGAGCAATTGTTCGGCTTGCAGTTAACAGCGGAACACATTGTGCTGTGCTTTTGATTTTAGTAAAATTGTAGAAGATGACATGTTTTAGAGATAAAGAAAAACCAGAAGAAGTTAGACAGACGAATATTGAGGCAGCTAAAGGTGTTTATAGCTCTAAGTTTTGGAGTTATTAAAAGTGTTTTATGTTAAACCTATAGTTTGCATTGTATAATTTTGGTTATTCGTATATTGTGAAGTTTTGTTGGTGTTATAAACTTTAACTTAATATTGTTTAGCTGTTGCTGATGCTGTCAGAACTTCATTGGGACCTCGAGGTTTGGATAAAATGGTTTCATTACAAATAATAGTTTACAATATTTAAGGCTTCAGTTTTACTTCTGTATAGATCACCGCGCCTGACGGCAACGTGACCATATCTAACGATGGAGCTACTATCCTAGACAAAATGTCAGTCCTTCATCCAGCTGCTAAAATGGTTCGTAACTTATTTATTTTTTATTTACATTATAAAAAGAACATTTAAAACCTTTATTTTACTTTTGTACTAACTTCAAAAAAAAGCTCGTCGAGCTGTCGCACGCTCAGGACGTCGAGGCGGGTGACGGCACCACCTCCGTCGTTGTTTTAGCAGGAAGTTTACTTTCTGCCGCTCAACGCCTTCTTCGTTTAGGTTTTGAACTTCTTACTTTATTAATAATTTTTTGAATCCTTTTTATTACTAAAGGAATCCACTCGACTATTATCTCTGAGTCCTTTCAAAATGCAGCTGCTGTTTGTTATTTTTTATTTTCTTAATTTTTTTGCTTATAATTTTTTTTGTCTTCTAATAAGGCTGCTGTTAACGTGCTGAAGAACATGTCTATCAACGTTGATTTGAACGACCGAGCAACTTTGATAAAAAGTGCGATAACCTCCTTAAGCTCTAAGGTTCACTTTATATCATTTTTAAAAGTGCAATTTATAATTACCTCTTTTTTAAATAAACTTAATTTAAGGTTGTGGCGCAGTATTCCAATCTTTTTGCACCGATCGCGGTTGAGGCAGTCTTAAGGGCCAAGTCATCTCTTAATGTGGACTTAAAAAATATTAGAATTGTTAAAAAAGTTGGTTAGTTAAATCATATTAACAGGTTATATGAAAAAGTAAATCTTGTATATTTATTCCTTTAGGCGGAACCGTTGAGGATACTGAGCTTGTTAATGGTCTCGTGTTGAACCAAGGCGTACGCCATTTAGGTCTCTTTTAGTTATAATTAACGGATCCAATTTTTTTTTATTTTTGCTTTGCTTTGTTCTTATAGGCTCGATTCCGACCAAAGTGGAAAAGGCAAAGGTCGGGCTCATTCAGTTTTGTTTATCGGCCCCTAAAACGGATGTGGGTCAAACGTAACGTCTGCTTGCAGCCGTTTTTTTAATTATAATTAACGCGTAGATTGACAATCAAGTTCTGGTCTCCGATTACGCCGCTATGGATCGTGTGTTCCAAGAAGAGAGGTTGTACATCCTCAACTTGTGCAAGCAAATTAAAAAGTCAGGCTGCAATGTTTTACTCGTTCAGAAGTCTATTTTGAGGCATTTCCCACCTTTTTGTGTGCCTCTTTTTTTCCATCAATTTCTCGTTGTCGTAGAGACGCCGTGAATGACTTGTCGCTGCATATACTTTCTAAGATGAAGGTTATGGTCATCACGGATATTGAAAGAGATGAAGTTGAATTTATATGCAAAGTAATACACTTATCTTCTCTAGGAAAAATAGCTAGTTTTTAAAAAACTTTATTGATGCTCTTCGGGCTTAAATTGAGTAACTATGGTTTCTAATTATGAATAGCTGAGTAAACCTTTTTCTATACATAGACACTCGGCTGCAAACCAGTTGCAAATCCGTCTTCTTTTACTTCCGATAAACTCGGTTCGGCGGAGCTTGTTGAAGAAATTGCCGGGGGATCCTTCACGAAGTTTTCTGATGTCCCCAATCCTGGAAATACAGTTTTTATACATATATTAAATTCACAAAATTTATTGAGATTTGTATTTATCGCGTCTAATTACTGTTTTTTATAATTAGTGCTCCATTCTTATGCGGGCCTCTAATAAATTAGTTCTCGAAGAGGCTGAGCGGAGTCTCCATGATGCCCTCTGCGTGATTCGTTGCTTAGTAAAAGAAAAGTGCTTATTTTTCCTCCTCTGCCCTTTGAGCTTTTCTCGTTTACACTATATCTCCGGCAGCGCGCTAATTGCTGGTGGCGGCGCCCCTGAAATTCAGATTTCGGTTGAGTTGCGCGATAAGGCGCAGTCGATGATTGGCATGGACGGGTACTGTTTTCAAGCATTTGCAGAGGCGATGGAGATCATCCCACTTACTTTGTACTGCGTGCGAATTAGCAGTCCTTTACGAAGTTTCATAGATATTTTTTGGGCAGGGCTGAGAATGCAGGGCTCAATCCCATCTCTGTGGTAACTGAGCTGCGGAATCGGCATCACAAGGGAGAGATTAACGCAGGCATCAACGTGAAAAAGGGAACGGTGAAGAACATAACTGAGGATAACGTCTTGCAACCGCTGTTGGTATCCACGTGCGCTGTTAACCTCGCCGCTGAGACCGTTTGCAGCATCCTGAAGATCGACGACGTGGTAGACGAATTCTTTGTAGTTCTCATACGCTTTTTGTTTAATCGTCTCTTATTTTAGTTGTTCACCCGTTAACCACACTTTAGGGAATGCTTGCAATTCTTGAAATATTTCGCGTAACTATTAAAATAAATTTTTTTTATTTTTTTTTATTACTTCCAACAGTAGTTGATAACAATAATTTCTTATAGAAAGAGTTTATGGTAAACTAATATACTTTTTTACTGCCCACAATTACTTAATTTGGCAGGGGTTAAACTTGTTATTCGATCCATTTTGATCAATAGGGTTTCATAAAAAATATATATAAAGTCTACGGAGCTGCCTCACGGGTCGCCTTGCATGTTTTATTCGTATACACAAGAGGTAGTGTTAGCTACTTCATACGATTGGGCCTCTTCAGAAATAGTATAATAAAAACTTGCTTTATTGACTTGAAGCGTTATTTAGTGTAAAACCCGAAAAGATTAAAGTAAGAGTTTTGTTAGGCTTCCAGTGATAAATAGTTTAATGATAATTATATATATGATTTTTTATAAGATATTAAAGTCGCGGAGTGCATTAGCTACAGCTAACAAACATTTCATTTTAATTGCAGAAATCTTTTTTTTTAGCACAAAGTAAATATTAGTAAATCTTAAATAGACAGTACATAGCCGGATTCTATAATATCGGGAGGTCGTGTTGCCATATTTGGTCTAAGTATATCTATAAAAATAAAACTGAGCAAAAATAAATAAAGTTTTTAAGACTTCAGAACTTGCGTCTCTTTACTTATGATTTAAACTTGCGGATTTAAAGATTTTTTTTAAAGTAAATGAAATTTAATGTCTTAAACTTTGAGCGAAAGGTTGTAGTACCAGCCAATCCTCATCGTGGACCTTTTTTCAGTTAAGACCGCAGTTGCGGTATTTTAACCTGTAAAATTCGAGATATTCGGTATTTGTTATGGTATGGAATGCTTATTAGGAAACAATAAGAGTTTTACTATACTTTGTTTATATTTATATACTCCGACAATTTTTTAATATTTCAAGTTACAACGAAGTTGCGAAATTCTATTGATATTTTATTTTTTTTGATAAATACGCAATATAACCGCGTTTTTAGTTATTTATTGTTTTATTTAACCGGAATTCATTGAACCTGTTCCCTGGTTATATGTCTTTCTAACTAAATTTAGATCTACTTTAATCCAAGTTGGTTCTCACAATTTCCTTTTCTTTAAGTTATGGTTAATTACCTTTAACGACCCTATATATAACTAAACCTTATAGTAAAAACGTGTTATTCATAACCGGAATATTAAAATTGGTTAGTTTCTTACATGAAAACGTTAGTAAGAATAACGAGCAAAATTTAGCTTCTTACACATAAATAGTTAGTAACAGTAACGAGCAAAATTGTAAATTTATTAATAAATACATTTATAATAAGCAAGTCAAATTAAAAATAGAAAAGTTATGTGATATCTTAATATAGTCAATTTTTAATATGCAAATACAAAAGCTTTTAGCAAAGTTCCGCACAACAGAATTATAACTAATTTAATTTAAATGCTAATTACAATAAGCTGCCTTTTATATACAAATTTCTCAAACTAACTGCCCTTACATTCTAATATTTCTAATGACTTCGCCAATGTTACCGCTCCTAATTTCTTTCTGAGTTACACTAATCAAAAGCTGACCTCGAAGCCTCACACGCCAGAAGCAAATTACTATTGTAAAACTTATAGTGTCGGCGGGGTAGGAGGTCACTTTAGTTATTGCAATCTTTCTTATCAGTTAAATGGATTATAGAACCTCAGTCAGTCCATCTCCACAAGAATTGGGATTTTTCGAGGAGGATGACGAGTTTGAAGACTTTCCAGCGGAAGGTGAAATGCGAGTAACAGTTTTCATATTTTTTTCTTTGCGATATATAAGGGATACTTGAAGATTGGAATGAAAATTTGCAAGATAACTTTGATGGCAAGCAATGGGAAGACAACTGGGATGATGACTGTGTTGAAGATGACTTTAATATTCAACTAAGGTATCGTTAAGTACTTTTATTAAAGTTACCTTATATAACTATTATATAGAAATGAACTTCGGTCAAACCATTAAACGTTTTCCTCTCTTGTCGTTTATGGGAATTTATATATAATAAAGCTTCTGTTTAAGCCTTTTTTTAATGGTCTTTATGCGAAAGAAGTTTGTATTTCTTTCCAAGTGTCTACGTTATTTTACTGAAGTCTGTAGACTATTCCTGATTTAACTTTTAAGCTATAATCCTTCTTGACCCTTTCAAAAAAACTCATAACGTTCTTTATATACCGCATTTATTATAAAAGAAGGTTTTTGCACTTTTAGTCATTTTTTTTATCGGCTCGGCGATTCTTTAGTTTAATGAAAGACTTGGTTAAAAATTTATTTGCAAAAATATACGACTTACCTGATCGCTTTGAATTTCTTTTTGGAGTCTTTCATACTCCTCCTGAAGATTTGCACTTTGCCTTCTCATGGCCTCCAAGTTTGCCTCAGCTTTCCGTTTATCTTATGAAACCAAAATAATTCATATTATATAAGTAAAGCTGCTTTTCATACCTTCGATAGCCTTTTTCAAGGAAGTTTCTGCGTTACTGTTAGTGTTTAACAAAGTTTTGTATCCTTCATAAGCATTATTAGCCTGTTTCGCCAAAGCCTCTGCCTTTATTACCTCACTAGACATATGCCTAAACTGAATCAAGACCCTGAAAAAGCAAAAGTTTATTTATTTATAATACAGAAATTTGCATATAAAACTAACAGAAGCATAAAGAGGGTAAAAAAAATTAAATAAAAGTTTTTTTCGGCGTGAAAAAGACGTATTAAGGAGGTATTGTCTGGTTCCACTAGTTTTTCTCTAGTATTAAGGGCTCTTTTTTTTACGGCCTAAAAAATAAATTGTTTCAAAAAAGGTAAATTAAATAAAAGCGCCAAATGTCGAGATAAAAATGCATTACCCTATACAATTGGTAACAGGAATCTGTGAAGAATCCAATAATAATTACGAGCATGGATTGATAAATTCTTACGGGAATGCTGTTACTGGGTAAATTTGCTAGCCAACTTAGAATACCATGCTTCCTGCACGCATAAATTATAGTTAAAAAATAAATTACAAATTTAATTAGACAGCTTAAGACTATTACGAACAGATGTAAGTGTTAATGCACAGATAATTTAAGTAATTTTTCTAACGGTTTCGACATTCAAAATAAAAGGTGACCAACTCATTGGTAGTGGCAAACATAAAAATCCAAAAAAAAGGAGTTCTAGCACAGCCACTGAGCCTGCTATCGTTGTCTGAACCATCGCGAGCTGTGTATTAATGCAAGCAAAGAGAGACTTGTAAGTTTACTTATCAAAAGAAGGAAGGGTTATAAGTGAATAGACACCGCCATTGCTTAGCCTCTTACTTTTGTCAGTGCACTGAGAGTTCTTGGTAAAACTTTTCAGACTTAGTTTTTAAGTCGACATTAGCATGGACTTTGACGTTATTAAACATCTCTATCGTATTTAAAAATTACCAATATAATGTTTATCTTTATAAGTAAACCAGTACCTTTTCCAAAACATTGTAATATTTTAAATATCTAACCTGCCTGCCGTACCAAACAAAGGAGATAATAAAAACAACATAACAAAACGAATAAATATTTAATTTTTTTTTTTTGTAGCTTGCCCCAGATCCTAGTGTTATTACTTAAGCATTACCAGTTGAAAAAATATTTTCACTAGAGTGCAATTGTAGTACAATATGTTTGCGATACTTTTTTTTATTAATGCCTACTATTTAAAATGTAAACTAACTTTTTAAGCAAATAAACTAGCATTCTGAAATTATCTAATTAATATATGCTTACTATAGCTTTGGCCTCGGTTTTTATTAAAGATTAATACCGTGAGCTCTGTATTTCCCTCTTTAAAGAAGAGTTTGAGGGCAATAACCCCAATGTTTTTATTAAATAGGCTGTCCGCAAAGTCTTAGAAATAGCTAAGGACAATCATGGGCTGGAAACTTTTTAAATTAAAACTTAGGAACGCAATTGTTATTATAACTCTCACTCTTCTAGCGTAGTGCCTAACTATAGCGCCTAAAAGGGTAACAAAGAATAACAGTAATCGAATATCATCAGTTTTATTGCGTTGATGGTCAGATACACACACGAACAGGCACCGAATTACAACCGCAACACAAAAGTCCAACCTCCACACAACCTTTAACGTACACTAGGGAAACGATTGCGAAACCTTCACAGATGTTAATATCCTCATGAGGCGCATGCTAAAGTAATTACGGACACTTGGGAGATTTACAAATAAAGAACACGGGGTATTCTAGAGAGAGGATGGTGTAGTGGCTCGCAGCAGACGAGTTCTGAGTATGTTTTATTTTTCATTAGTATATAGTGCGCTCAGTCTTCGTATTCTTTAAGGAGTCGTGTTGAGGAGAAGATCCCAACTCATAAGTTTTACCGCAAATTACCATTTTTAGGTAATTTTATGACTATGATTGATTATCTCATTGCTTAGTTATTAGTATATAGTGAAGGTTCAAGAAAAATAAACCGGCAGTCGTGTTGATTTTTTAGTGCTTATTTTGTTTTAGTCACATCTGTACATCTTTATATATATATATATACATTTGCTTACAATTAATTTTAAGGGGCTTAAAGGTTTAGATACCGGTTTAAATACCCGTCAGTAAAGGTTTAAATACCCTAACAGGTCGAGATATATAAGTGTTACTCTCTAGGGAAAGTACCATTGTCTTGAGGGATTGAGAGACGGACTTTTTTAGCCCAGGCTTTCGCTATTCGGACTAGTAGTGCTACACCAGGAAGTTTGGCGGTTATAAATCGAGACCGCCAAGCATCCCCGCTTACGTAGAGGGTACTAGAAAAATATACAAACACAGCTGGTTGCAAACCTATACCTACACAATATGAGCATACGGCATAATAATAAACACTAAATTTTTTAAGAAAATCAGTTTTTAACGTTTTAACAAGAGGTAAAGCGATCATATAACTTTATAAATTAATAAACTGAGTGGCTACTTAAACAAAACTTTAACTAATGTTGAAAAAATTAATCTCTTTTCATGTAGCAAGGCGCTAATATAAGGTAATGAAGGTTAAAAAAATCGAAAAACTAATTGAGATTCGCATAATAAAAATTCGAAAACATAAAAATAATAATAAATAAAGCAAACCCCAAATTATTGAGTAAAAGACAAAAAGAACAATAAGGTGTAAAATTAAATATAAAAAGAAACAAGAACATTATAAACTAATGGTAGTTCAGTCAAGGATAAAAAGAAAGATGGCGCTTGCAAAACCCCACCATTAGGTGCGATGCTTGCTGTAAACCCCATTATGGCGATAAAAAATAATCGTGACTGTCAGATTAGATATAAATGTTGCGAACATGATAAACTTTTAGTACTTCAAGATTATCCCGGGAAAACAATAAACTAATTTTTATCTAAATTAATCTTGATGTTTACTTTAATAAATAGCGTGCTCAGTCGCACATGGTACAGTGTACCATATGTCACTCTCATTGTACAAGTTTACAAGTACATTTCATTATCTTTGACTCCAGTAAGTAGAGAAGTAGGCTTTCTTGCAAAAGTTGGAGTATAACTAAGAAACTTATAGGACTATTTTCTTTTGTAGATCAATTGCAACTTTTTAAAAAAAGTAAGAATTTAAGAGAGGTCGTTCTTAAGTTACTACTCAATAAGGCGTTTTATTAACATTAGCGATACTTTTTTATGAGACGTAAATAGCGTAGCTGTTTGATCTATGAATTTTATAACGATAAAGTAAAACTTTGATATCAGTAGTAATACTGTTTAAGCTTATATTTATAATTTTTAGATGTTCTTGCGGTGCGCAGTTTAGTAATAATAAAAATATAAAAATCAACTAAAATAATCGTCTAATCTTTGTGCTTGGGCTATTGCAAAAACTTTTGTTCTAATAAATTTTTTATTGTATGGTTGTAAGGTAAATTTAAATTCTTACTTAAACAAAACTGTCGCTTTAACTATCTCATCCATCAGTTTAACTTTATTAAAAACCAAATAATTATTTTAGCACAAAGTTTCTCGGTTCTGCTAATTATGCTTGTTTACTCATTTCATAAAAAAATATTTATGTTTACAGTTACAAAGCAAACTAATTTATTAATGTAGAAAACCTACTTTTTAGCGTAAACAATTTTCATAGGATGGTCGGGATCTATTAAATATCCTTGAAGACTATTCATTGCTTGGGTGGCCTGATGGATCTCGACGTACTCCACAAACGCAACATCGTGTCGATTTTGAATGAGACGAACTTCCTTTAAACCAGGAAACTGTCCAAAAATTACTTGAAGCCTCTTCTCATCAGTGTCCACCGGCAAGTTAATAAGCAGTAATATATTATGTGGTTCAGTAGTATCCGCTAAAAAAAGATTTAAAAATGATAATTATAATAATAATAATCCGAACTATTGCCAACAGAAGCGTGAGGTTGCGTTGTAAATGAGGTTTTGTAATGAGGTTTAGGATGTTCTTGAGCTGTAGTGAAAGTCATTAATATTGCCTTAATTATTAATTAACTTATTTAATACGAGTAGATGTAGTTTGGGAACGCCTCATACAAGGCTTGTATTCTCCTAACATTTTAGCTACAGCATCGGAATCAGACACTGCAAAGGATACCCTCTTTTACAAAAAAAAAAGTTATAACAAAACTTCAAAAAGGTATTTAAGAATAGTACCAATAACTTGTCGTAAAACAAAAAGGAGTCCATTTGTCTAATAGCATTCGCGGCGCTCGCAACATCCTGAAAGACTATCCAAGCCTGGCCTCTCGTCTTAATTGTTTTTCTAGTAACTACTTCCAAGATTCCACCAAATTGAGAGAAAACGCCATATAATGATCGCCTCAAATCTATACAAAGATAGAATAAAAGCTTGATGATCATTTTATATATGAAACAGTAACAACTAATATTAGTAATAAAATTAAAACCTTCATCTTTAATCTTATCAGGGAGATTGTGAACGTAAACTGTCCTTTTAGGGTGAGCTTGAATGGAGGCCATTCGGCTAAAAATAAAAGTTCTATAAGAGTTGGTATAATATTATACGCAACAACTCTAAACACGATTTCATAGGTAAAAAGTTACTAATAGAGTTAAAAAATCAATAAACTTATTTTGTTATAACCTCCGAAAAGGACTAAGTTAATATTTTTTTTTAAAGGCGCCTATGATTATACATATAGTCTTATGTATATTTTTAATATATTTAAGGTTGGATTACCAGAATTATAAATCAATAAGCAGGTTTTAGCTCCGTCACTCAAAAATACTTTGCTGTACAGATGACAGCCAACTCTTGTGTCTAACCATTCGCGGCACAAGCATGCTGTAAATTAAGGCCAATCGGGCCCAACCTGACATTTTGGTTTTTTTTAGTTTTTTGTGTTTAGTGCTTCGTCTTAAACCATTCACTCATATTTTCCTTTATAAGGGATCTATGTTGGTGTGAAAATCCATATTATATTAAAATAGATTTTTATTAAATTATTTCTTATTGTGCTTCTATTATGTAACTAAATTTAACCTCCTTTTAATATTATAAATTTAACTTACTATAGTATAAGTACTAGTCTTAGTATTATAGCTTAATTAATAAAACCCTTAAGTAATAATCGTTTACGTTTTAAGCTATTTTAGAAGGGAGGTGTAGCGTTTTTTTTGACTCACAAAAGGTTTAAATAATTGAATTTTTTTAGGTAGTTCTCGAAAAACTAAAAAAGTTAGTATTTACTAAAACCTGGGAGTTTCTTGTTTACTTCAAATATCATATAGTTGGTTTTTACGTTACTGATTTTAAAAATTTTAAGCGATACTTCTGATGTGAAGAGTTCTATATAACTCTGTAATAGTAAATAAGTTATTTTCTTCTTTACGGCCAACGAAAATTTATATTTTTGACTGGTTTTTATTACGAATTTAAAACCTTTAAGGGTTTTATCTAATAAAGCGCGCCAAAGCTACAAAACAAAAAAAAATTGATAGGATATAAAAGCATAAACACGGACTATCAGATATAATTATTATAAAAAAAATTATGATATAAGAAACGAGCATAACCTAAAGAAATAATTAAATTAGACAGACCAGAAGGTCAAACCAAAACCGAGTTAGGAGCCGCTTTATTATAAAGAATAAAGGAGCCTTTTATCGGACTCAACCTTTTACCTAAGACCTGACCCAAAGGCAACCCAGGCTTATAAAATTAAATAGTAGATATTTGTCTTTCTACCTTATAAATTAACACGTAGCTCTATTTCAAAGTAGCCGTTTGTTAAAACTATTTAAATAAATGTAAAATAACTAATAACATAAACTGTGACTTGGGATGATAAAACAAAATTATAGAAAAATATGATAATTATTAAAATTGCTGCAAATTCTTTTTTATAGGCTGTAGGGCAGGCAAAGTTAGTACACAGTGTTAAATAAATCTAAATATTTTTAAAATATTTAGTAACACTAGTTAACTTAGTATTTAACTAATTGCCCTCAAGAGTACTAAGCTAGTTAATAACTCTTCAGCTATGGCGCCCTCTAGAATAAAACTATAACCTTTATGATAACGCCTCTAGACAACTTAAAATTAAAACACAAAAAAAAAACGCGCTCACCGAAAAAGAAAGAAGGGAAAAAAGAGCAGAAAGACATAGTCGAGCCACTCATGTGTTTTATTAAATATATATATCCCATACATATTGTAGCAATAGATTACAAAAGGTACCTAATAAACAATATATAAATATCCTCAATCATTCTAATTTTAAATTCGTGCTGTAAGGTGATTAAATGCTAAACAAAAGTGATCTCGCGCAAGGTTTACTTAAAGAAGAGAACCGTTTAGAAAAGCATGATATATAAATATCATAATATTAGAAGTTTTTTGAGTTATATTCAAGGTTTACCTGTAACCTGGGAATAAAAAGAGAGAGAAAATATAAATATGTTCTTAAATGTAAGTTAAAATATGCTAATTAAAATTTTGGTAGACTCAAATAACTTGGACATCAGTTATTACAATTGCATTTAAGTTAAAAATAATGTGCTATACTTTACAAAGCTCCTTGTCTTTTATAATACTTTCCTTGTTAATAGATCTAAGTTTTTAAAATGGATAGTTATACTCTCTTAATTTGGTTAGTTTATTTTTATTTTAAAGCAATTAAAACAACTAAGTTGAAGGGCCAGCAAGAAAAATAAAACTAAATTTCCTAATTTGTATAAAGTAATATGATTCGCTAACACGCCTCTAATAAATTACTACAGTTAAATATTTTTTGCATGGTATCGAACAATTGTTACTATCGGATCAGCATTGTGTGTTGGGTTTAGTAAACATTATTTGTTTGAGTTTACTTTTTTTAGAGTAGTAATAAGACTAATGGTATAATTAAAAATGGAAAATTTTAAACTTCTAAGGATGGTAAATTCTTTTGTTTTGGATTGTAAAGCTCTATCTACAGAAGTTAAGAATTTCTGTACGAGGAATATCATACACAATGTGCAAAAAATGTTCTTAAGGTGCCTTTCTAAAACATTTTATTCATATTTAATTTAGTTTAGTGGTTTATTTATAATGTACGTTTATTTAAGTGACTTTTAGGTTTTTTATTTGTATTTACTTTTCTGGTTTATTAGAATTAACTTTTTAAAATCTTTTTATCAATTAAGTCAGATATACATTGTGCTAATATCATAATCTTATAGTTCTTTGAAAATATCTAGTTCAACATTACTGCGTTACTTATATATTATATAACTGATATGAGCTTTTTTAAATCTGCTATAGAAACAGTTTGGCTTGGCTTGTTGACAACTATATTTTTATATAAATTTTTTATTGTCCGTGTTGTGCATATCGTTAGACGTAGATCCCCTTTGCGTTATCTAAGTTGTTTTACTAAGCTATTATATATATTGAAGGTATAACTCATTAACTATTCCTTCGCCACCCTTAATTTCCTACGAGACTCTCCCTCCTTGGATGAGAGATAATTCTTTCATTCTTCACGGGCACCGTCCTTGTTTAAAAAAATGGAATGACGTCTTCCATAGTTTATTTTACTTTCATAACCAGACTTTTAATATATATTCTCACTTAATCACGGGTCTCATATTTATTGGAATGCTACTCCACACCTTATATGTTCGCAAGAATTTTTATTTTCCGCACTTGCTCTTTTTATGCAGTGGAACTTTCTGCTTTTTATCATCCTCCTTATTCCACCTTTGCTTTTGTCATTCACCAGAGATTCTAGAGCTAGGAAGCCGTTTTGATTATATTGGCATCCTTATAATGATTTACTCTTCAAGTAATCTTTTGGCCTTCTACGGCTTATACGACTGCCATCTTTACTTGTACTACGGCGGGGCACTTTCCTCGAGCTGTTGCACACTTTTTTGCGTCAGTATTTGCTGCCGGAAAGGTTCCTGCAAAGCCGCTAATCGCAGCAAACGTGCTGTTTTGTTTGTCGTGGTTGGTGGCCTCTGCGGCCTTCCTGTTCTGATTTCGTACTACCTTGCGGGTTATCCACAGCTTACAAAGATCTTTCAAGGTTTACTTAAGAACTTCAACATTAATTTATATAATGTTAATTGGTTCTGTAGCTCATCTTGTGCTATTAGAAGTGGTGATATACTGCTTGGGGGCCTGCTTTTTCTCTTGGCTGATACCCGAAAGATGGTCCCCCGGAAAATTCGACTTAATTTTTAATAGCCACAACCTACTTCACATAACCAGCACTACTGCAGGCCTCCTGCACTATTATATTGTTAGGCGTATCGATAGTAGTGCTGCTAATTGGACTTGCCTTACCTTATAATTATTGGTAAAAAATAAATTCCATTTAAGCTATATTTTAAAATGTATATAATTATTTTTTATATATTTATTGGGAAGCCAACCCAACCTCGAAGCATTGGCCTTAACTTAGATGAGAAAAAATAACGTTTTCTTTGCTAGAGTAAAATTTAACGAGTAATGAGTAATTCCTGCCTTCGACCGTTTTCAGCTGTGGAGATCACGTCATAAGTGGGAAAGATAGCGGCTTATCAACTTGGAATATTCATAACAGGGCTGTGGAAAGAGTGGTTGCTCACTTTGATTTAAATTTCGAAGATGTTCGTTATGAAGTGAAACTAGTACTTGAAGTTTGTACAGCAGAGAACGTTTAGCAGAAAAACCGTCAGGTTGTCTCTTGAAAAAACCGTCAGACTATTAAATTATAGTATCTTAATACTACCCATAATTTTTTTTTTTTAGGGTAATAACCTCAGAGAGTATATTACTATCCAAGTCTGTGCGCGTGAAACTCTTCTTAAATACTTTAACTTTGTTTTCTCTGCACATCTTTAGATTTACGAGTTTAGGGCAATTCTTTTTGAGGAAAAAAGATTAAAAAAAAAAATTTGTAAGCGAGCAAGTTTTAAAAAATTTCCAATAATTAATTTAGCCATATAAAACGTATAAAGCTCATAACTTGATTTCTTAGTAAAATTAACAGCTAACTTTTATATTACCTTTATTCTTGCTCAAACTTTTTGCGACCCTTCAAATACTATTTATACTCTCACTTTAAGCACTTATAACCATATTCAAAGTACTACACTTACCTTAATATTGACTTCTGCGCTTCTTTTACGGTGAGCGTTTAAATAATATTTAAAAGGCTCTCTTCTTTTCAGAGCTTTGCAGTACTTATGAAAATGACCATTAAGTGGTTGATCTCCACCTTGTTTCTTACGGCAAGCTTCCAACTTTCTTTCTGGAGGCAAAATATCTTTATAATATACATAAAAGTAAGAAGTACTCTCCCACTATACTATAAAATTGCTTATTTGCTAAACGAAAAGCTGCCATTTCAACAAATTACTAAACCTCTTAAAACATACCGTGGCGGACAGAGAGGTGCGCAAACTTAGAAGCTTGCTTTATGCTTTTCGTACTTTCAAAAGGTCTCCAGACTGTGAGTAATCATGATACTTACAAACGTAATATTGCTATCGAGGGGCACGTTACCCTTAAATTCTTGGCTAGAAGGCTTTAAAGGTTCCTGTCCACCCCTTTCTTTCTGTAAACTAAGAGGTAAGCCGCCAGTTGGAAGACACGGCGTTTCCGTGGATAAACAGCGTAAAGTACTATACATTATGTAAAATAAGATGCAACTATTTTTAAAATACTAAAAAATAACGTTTGGGCAAATCTAAGTTAATCTTTTTGTACTATTACTTGAAAACCTCAATGTTGTGGTTTGAACTGGAAGCCTCCCAATTAAGGAAGTTGTACTCTCCGCACTAGATCTATAAATAATATTTATACACCCATGCCCATAATTTCAAGCACCGTCACCTTTATTTACCTGCAGTGACTTAAAGTTGTTAGTTAAAGATGGTGTAAGTTTACGCCTTTCTCTACTTAATATTTACTTACAAAGAACATATTTTTTAAGGGATTACAGATAATTTTAAAATTTTGCCATGTATAGGTATTTGGCTTTAAAGGTACGAGATAGTTGTGCACAAAAGATAGACTTGCGGAACCACAAGCTACTTTTTAAAGCTGACTGTATACTTGGTCGTTAGTTTATCCTATGCTTTCCTTTTAAGGATTAAATGTTTAAGTTACAATTAATTATTCCTAAAAATAAGATTCTTATTTATTAATAGTGCAACATAAAATGGTGGCTTTGAATATTTATATGTAGATGAATAAATTAAGTCTTCGTTAGCCCAAAAGTCTAATATAAGAAATTCAATGCAGGTTGAAACTACGACACGTTGAGGCGACTCCTCTATTTTATAGTGTTTTGATTGGTAAATATTTTTGTCATTAAGTGATTAAAAATTAAAGGTTCTTTAGTATTCCGCTTTTTCTAATAACTTTTTAAAACTTTTTCTGTGTAAATTATAAATGATCATGCACTCAACTGAGAGGGGCAATTACCTTTTACTTATTACAACTCGTTTTGTTAAATTCAAGAAGTAGTAAAGAGGAAGTGCAACGTTTTGTATTTCCTGTCTTATTAATAGCGCTATAAACTATTATAAAATTAGAGGGAATTTACCACTAGTAATTATTTTAAAGTAGGCTTTAGTTAATACTATTTATGTATACTTTCTAAGTCATTCCTAAGTTATGTTTCAACCACGCTTTTTTCAAAAGTTTTAAAGGAGTTTTTGCTTAAACAAAGTGTTAAAAAGCTGGTGAAACAACTCCATAGAGTTAAAAATGAGAATTCTGTTATACAATTATTCCGAAGCATCTATCTTATAACTTTTTTTAAGTATACACTACCTACTTCACAACCAAAAAAAATATTATTTTTAAGAGCAGTATTAGTCAGTAATAATTTCTCATAAATAACTATTATCTCATATCTTAATTTAAAAATTGTTAAATAAAGCGAATACCGCCAAGGTTTATAAAGGCCTTTTTTTTATCCATCATTTTAGAAGAAAACCTAATTATATGATTTAATTATTCACTTGAGCCATTAAAGTCGCATTTGAAAACAGCAACTTAATAAACTTAGTCCTGACCCTTAAAGGACATCTTTTTAGTTGCACATAGTCGCCGTCACCTCTTATTTCTCCTAGTCTTTTTGGGAAACGCGTAAACGTACAAAGGCGGAAACAACTAATTATTATTAAGAGCTAGAAGGAAGGAATATGTAAAACTAAATAATCGATCACAATAAGAAAAATTAAAACCCTTAAAAATAATGGACAGGATAAACTTAGTATTACGTTATATAGTAACTATCTTTGGTATCCTGTGAGTTTGACGAGGGAGAGCAAATGGAATTCTCTTTAATCTGTTTCAGCTTAAAGTTATTCTATAATCTCAAAACTTTTAAGTCCTTCTTTAAACTGTGAACTTGTTAATTTAAAAATATAAGCATTGAAAAGTATGCTAACTATCTCTACTATTATTATATTTATGACTCTTACATGCTACAGTCTACTTCCCAAAGGTCCATGAACTGTCGGGCTCATGCTTGGGCACCACGTAACTTTAGCTAGATTACAATTTCTTTAAATTATTATATTGTGAACTACATCTTTTCAACGCCTAACCATTAGTTTCTTTGCTGTAAAAGATCAGAAGTGAAACTTGACTATTGTATATGGATAATTTATCAAAGTTGATCCATTGAAACCGGCTAATCTACATATAAGTACTATCTAATTTTACACAGTTAACGAAATTACTAGGTAAGCCAGGCAGGGACTCAACATAGGTTTTTTTTTGTGGACTAGTTGTAATTGGGTTTCAGCCCTAGAGAAGCTTTTTTTATTATTGCTTTATTTAATTGCGTAATAACTTTAATCTTACAGTTCACGGTACAGTTGAAAGTTTCGTAACAATCAAAGTGCCCCAGCGCAGCGCACAGGCAAAAAAATTATCCAGTAAAATTTTGTGGCATACTTATATTTCATGGAAGAGTATTTTAAGCGGCATGTCGTTAATTAGTTTTAAAATTAAAGATCGCGTAGTCGAAAAGAGCAATGTTTGCAAGCATCAGTGAAGATAAAAAGTTACAAATCTCGGGGTAGGGGAAACGATGCTTCTGCCTCCTCTTGTATTACATATATGTTTATACGAGTTTAACTATTTATTTAAGGTTTTCTAATTGTAATAACTATATTTTATCACCCATGTGCACGGTTAAAAATTTTTATAGATTGTAGTAATATTATGCAAGAATTTTTTTTTATGGGTCTGTTAAATGTATGCATAAGAGGAAGCAGGTTGCTTAGCGGCCCCCAGCTAAAAGGTTGAGGTTATACCATTCATTTTAACGCTTCAATATAAGATATACTATTCAATAGCACTATTGTATTATGTATCTTTATATAGAACTATAACAGAACTTTGCATGTAAGCACCATAAAATGCTCTAAAACTGCAGGAATGGTACCGGGTACCGAAAAAAATTGCTTTTAAATTAGGTTTGAAAGAGACTTTGTAAAAAGCTGAAATTTTTTAATATATTTTGTGTTTTTTTTTATATAACTGTGCTTGCAACTTTTTCCTAGAAAAGATAGCAGGCGTAGCCACTATTTAAAACACAATAAAATAAAAAAGTTTTTTGTAAAAGAAACATTGTATCCATCACCTTAACAAAGTGGATATATGCAGCGAGTATAAGATATTTTAACATAAAACTAGGCAAGTTGTATAGCCCTCTAGGTTTCAAGTAGAGCAGAAGCGTTAAGATATATGGTTTATATTTTGAGGTAGGGAATAATGCTAAATGTTTTTTAATCAATTTTAAAAAAAATAGAGGTAGCAGGTCTGGTAAAATGACTGTACCTAGTAGTATGAAACATGACAAGCGGTTTTTATAGAATTTTAAAAGACAAATAAGGACATTATTTTTTTAAGTCCTTGACTATTTTTTATAAACAGTTACGTAGAATTATAAATTTTTAAACTTGCTTTTTCATACTTCAGAAAAACTGTAATATGCCTTTAAACCCCACCCGAGTTTTAATCTAGAGTACGTTTTACACGTGGGGGGGGGAGTTGTTAACTTTGCTCTAACGGCTGAGATTAGCAGTAAGGGCTGATTTAATAGAAAATATTTAACGGCAGAGATATCTGCGCCCTCATATGTGTCTTTACACTACTAATTACTTTAAGTACCTCCAATATCTTTGGCCCTTACAGGTTAAGTAATGATATAGCCTTTCTTTACTCACCTACTTTTATCAACTTCATGTTTGAAATTTGAGGATTTTATTCGGTATTGGGCCCGATTAAATAGTTAAAGGAAGGCATACCCTTTTAAATTAAACTATCCCTCCTTTTCCATCCTTTGCATAATCTAAAATATTTAAGCGTGTTTGAATTAACATTGTGATAAATAAGAAAGAGTTAAGATGTCATGAAAACAGAAAAACATCATATGGGACCTAAACTATAGAATTTAGAAGAATGAGCAGAATCAAAAGGTCCTTACATAGGAAACCCTTCTCTTAGAGCCATTTTGTTAAGTAATGTTTCTTCAAAAAGTAGAACCAGGAAATCATATTTGAAGTTATCAAAGTACTAAGATTTAAGTCGAGGTCGTTTTGTTCTAATTTTTGTACCATTGCCCTCGATGTTGTTGTATAGTCTTAGCTAAACTTTTTACAGCTTTAAATTCGTAACGGCACACATAAGAGAGGAGAGTTTGGGACGTATTTTTTAATTTACATAGCCCGGCAAAGTTAGGTCTATACTTGTTGTGCAGAGGCTAGTTTAGCAAAGTATCAAGTTGTGTACTTGTGTATTGTCAAAAGTTCTTGCTCAAGTTTCACCCAAGGGTATTACAGTTTATAACTTCTGCTGATGTAAAGGAAAATAGAGTTAACCCTTGGATTTGATTTGAACATCGATTTATTGTAAGGTTTGGTAGAGCCAGCCTCTTTAAAGTAAAAAGTTTATGGACTTATGCTATTTATATCTAACGGCGTGGTGCGTTTAAAGTATAAAGAACAGCATTCTTAATAATAAACAAGTTTTTCAGTCAACAAGTTAAGCAGAGGTTTCCTGTGATGTTGACGAGGCGTGGGCGAAATATATGGGTACTTAAAATAAGCAGAAACATGGGAAAGGGAAAACAAATCCAATTTGGCTGTATTTTATAATCTTTATTAAAGATTTGTTATTTTTACTGGAATAAAGAATCAACGTATTAAATAACTGTTCATCTATTTTTATTTGTATAAATATTTAGTCCGTTGCTTTAGGCAGAGGATAAGTTTATTAAATTTGGAAGTTAATATGTTAAGAATATCTTCTACTTTTGTTCCTTTAGCGTGATTAGTGAAAAAAAAATTATCCTTTTTCTTTATTATAAAATCCCTGCTACAGTGGCTATTTATGACACTACTACTCAACATTTCCCAGGTAGAGTTACACAGGTTAGACAAGAACCTTTTTAAAGAAAATAATTTTTCTCTATAACTTAAACTCAAGCCCAACTTTGGTGGCATTCGCGTTATCTTCTTCTCTAATTTCCTGTAACAATAACCATACTCTTAATAGATTTAGAGTTATTGCCCGAAGCTTGCCCTTTCTTCAGTGAACTTTGCATCTCGTACTTCCTTATTATATAAGTCATTTTTGAGTAAAAAATATGAAATATAATGAAAATATACAGTATTTCATTAGTTAGTTATGTATAAGTATGAGTACGTTGAAACAATTCTTAAACTTTAGAAAATGAAAACGAAGAAACTACGATGAACGGCGGCCACCCGGTCTTGAATTTTAAATTTAAAAGGCGCAGGTGGCAATACCATAACAATGTAAGTTCAGTACACAAATTCTCTTAAAGGTTTTTTTGTGTTAATTTTAATGCTAAATCTTGAAACCAGAGAGCTTTTAAGTTCTATATCACTAAAAAGCAATGAAATTGAAGCGAAGGCCCAAGAATGTATATAATTTTTAATCCTTTTTAACTAATTTTCTTTATTTTATCTATATTAATATGATCTGTTATCTTCAAACTTGAATATATTAGTATCTGAAGCAAAAAGAATCGGTGGTGACTATCGCGAACTAGTTGAGAACTATAAATTATTAAAGTACGAATTGAGTGAATTAAAAGCGCTATTTATCAAAATGAAATTGTCGCAACAAATAATTAATCCTTTGGAAGTCCACGGCCCCACTATTGAGGGTGAAGTCCAACCTTTGAATTATAAACGAATCGCTTTAGACATGATAGACTCTTCTCCTTTGGAATCCTTAACCTGCAGCGCACTCAAGACGGCGTATAAAAGAAAAAATATAGATTTTCCAGTAGTTTTCGAACGAGATCTAATTATTGGGCAAAGGTTCTTTTTCACATTTACTGTTAAAAATTAGATATCCAATGTGTGATTAATTGATCTTTAAGGATGTTTATTTTTTTTTTGGTTAACAAGCTGATTACTGTTTCTCTACCTTTTTTTGGTTCAAAGATTAACTTGATTTTTTGCTTAGAGACTTTGGACAAGTTATTACTGCCTTGGAAAACGGCAGCAGTTTTGTATATATCCTAACCTCTTTGAGACCAGGTGAGTGTTTTTTGTAGCTCACAACGCATTAATATTAAAAAAAACGGTCCAAGGTAATATTACTCTCGCGCATCACGTACTATTGACCTTTTGCTCTGGACTGCAGCGCTGCTACCACATTCCCGTAATTGTTCAAGTGTGCGGTAGTTTTCAGATACTCAATAGCGTTTCACGTATTACGAGGATTTTTTTTAAAAGATATCGAAAAATTTTACCTTGAAGAACTCGTATTAGAAGATATACAGAAATTATACCACGACATGGTACCGCAGATCTTATCATGCGGATTTGACCAAAACATCACCTACATCTTTAGCAACATACAAAATTCCCAGTAAAGTTTTTTTAAACTTCTGCGCTTCTTTGAATATCATTATAATCTTTTTATAGGTTTATGTATCCCAATATTATTAAAATTCAAAAGCTGATTTCGGTTCAAGAAATAATGGACTTCTACTCTCTTACTATAAAGTATTTTTGCACTTTACACTGCATTAGATGAGTCTAAACTCCCTTTTCTTAGCGATATAGCCGGTTTTGTCACACATCCCTCTTACGCCATTGCCGCCACTTTCGCATCGTCCATTCCCTCTTTAGCTACTCACTCGCAAGCATGGCGATGTCTCTGCATTTACTTTTGCGAAAAGGTCTACGCGGCGCTTTCGAGATTTAAGAGAGATCTCTGAAACGCTCTTAGGACGTTCACTACCGTCTGGCCCGTAATATTGCCTGCAATATTGGTGAGACCCCACCAGCCACACTGGCTCTAAAGATCTTCCCCGGCCTGAGAAGCGTTGGAACCAACATGTTATTGGAAACGGCGGCTAACAGCATTTTTATGGTGGATACAGCAGCAGTTATTCGCAAGAAGGTTCAGCCGCCGCTCTTTTTTATATTGATAATAATAATGTAAACTCACCCGCCTGCACAGATAAACTCGTGCTTAAGTGGAGGCAGAGAGACAATAGAAGAGCACAGGAAACTGGCAAGTGCATTAAGTACATACAAACAAGTGATTGTTGCTATTACAGCCGGCTTTGTGCAGGGCGCCATTATAGAAAAGGACGTCGCTATCGAGATGTTTCGATTCCTTTGTCCGACCAGTAATGCTTTTCATGCGCTCGTGTCGAAGTATGAAAATGGGCTCATTCTCTCTGGCGAGATGAAGAAAGAAGTGATAGCGATAATACAAGAGATTGTTATCTCATATCAGCGGGTCTTTTTTCCCTTCTCCATCAGTGTCTCTTATTTTTATTGTAATTGCAGGGACTGCAACTATAAAGTCGGCCAGATGAATTCCTAAACGGCAGTTTTTATTTTCTACTGTGCCTATTAGCCACGTGACTTCTAGCTAACGACCGAAGAGCTACCAGGCTTGCGGCAAGCTTCACGTGTATAAAAAGTTATCGGTTCAGCTATAAACAGGGTAGTCATTCGGTGGAAGTCTTTCTTTTTTTGCTTGTAAATTCGTGCGGATTTACATATACGATTTTGCAGTTGTTCATTTGACCAATCATTCGGTCTGTAATAAAGTATACCAACAATAAAGGAAGCAGAAGTAAGGCCACGTGTTTACCATGGTCATCTAAGGTTTTGAGCTTCAGGGCAATGTCCAGCATCGGCGTCCCCCACACCTCGAGAGAAACCATATTCGCTCAAGGTGCAGAGTAGTGTAGAGTGTAGGTGCATTTACTTTACCTTGTGCTTGTTTTTAAAGCTCCACGGCAGACTGCATCGCCACTGACTACTCGGCTGTTTCCTAAGAGTGCTTAAAAATTGCTTCCTTGCCGACTAGCAAGACAAATATTTTGATTTACACAAGACGTGCACAGCACATCTCGCTTAACTTCATTATATAGCTTGGATGAAGTATAGCACGACTCCGCTTCCGGCAGACAAATTGGCCCGTACCTCGCGGCCATGAGGCTCTGGTCAGGCTCAGCGATGGTCTGGCGGTCCCAAAATATAAGTTGCCCCCAAATATAGTGCCTACTGTAGTACTTCGGTTTTATGCCGTTTATATTGACCTGCAGGGGGGGCGTTACCACCACTGCGGGAAAGCGCTGTACTTAACGTTACTTTCATTTTACGGGGAAGATCTTCTCTTCTTATGGGGGCCGGTTCGGATGTGAACCCGTCAAAGGTGTTCCCAGTGGTAATAAACGCTTCTGTTGTACATCAAGCTAAAAACACGTGGATGGGTGAGGCTGTACTGGCGAAAACCTGTACTGGATACAAGCAGAAGGTAATCACACGCGGACACGTGACGAATGTCAGCCTGGTTGGGGACATGCATGAGGGCCTGTCGAACGCGCAAGAGTTGCCTTTTTGCTTCAGAAACGACTTTTACCTTTTCAGCAACCATCGCTTCAACTTCACGGCATATTATTGAAGGAATTCTCCTGTTATAAAAAAAATCGATTTAAAGCGAACAAAATAAAAGCCGGATCCATACAACAACCGTTTCCCAGAGCTGAGCAACCGGCGTACGACGGACTCTTCTCCGTTCCACAAGTAGGCGATTATCTCGTCGTCCGTCATGCGTCGAAGGAGGGGTTTACTAGTATTGACGTACGATCCCTGAACACCGTAACTTCGTTACTTACTACTATAAAGTCATTAAAGAGGAAAGGCCACCTGCTTTCTTAGGCACAGCTTAACTTTGTCCACCGTGATGACAAGATTTTGCAGCCTGTTCTGAAAAACACCTTGAGCAGCATCCACAGCATCATCCCACCCAAACGCTTCACTAGGCCTTTATAGTGACTATCAAGGGACAGATGTGTGAAGCTAGGTCTGCAAGGGGTTATAACTGCTCTTGGCTGAGTGCGCCGTGGCGGAGAGGGGTAGAGCCGTTATGGGCAAGGACATGTGGAAGTTTTTCTTTTTCAAATACTATATATTCGAGGACAAGAGATATGTACTTGATGATCCATTTGGGCAGACCTATTAAATCGATATCACCAACTTAATGCGTCTTGTTCAAGAGGAAACTAGGGTATACTATACCAGCTAAAACAGAGTTTTTAATGCCATGTTGCCCAAGAAACATGCGGTCCTGGTCCGTCAGAGGCTCTTCCCCAGCGCGCAGTAGCAAGGCGTGGCGGTTTAGTACCGTGTGATCCACCGATATAACCTTAAGCGTAACCACTTTTTGTACATAAAAATGAGATACGGAAATATAATGCGCAAACTTGCTGAAAAGTTGAGCTGTTGGAAAAGTACAAGTAACTTTGCCGACAGGAAGCAGAGGTGCATAGGCAGATGGCTGAGCGGTACTCCTCAAGACTTTCTGTCCTGTAGGGCCACGTTTCAGATATGACAAACGGCAAAGCACCCAAAGCTTACACGGAGTTGTAATCAAAGCAAAGCTCTTCTCCGTAACAAATGTTTCTGATGGTGTAGATTCCCAAAACATACGAGCCCTTTACAGCCGTCACGCGTATATCGCTGCGTGGGAGAATAAGGCGGAGAGTTATAGTTAAAAAAACAGTGACAGTGCAAGCAAAGGGTCTCCACCAATTAGGATCGCAGCTGTGGCTAAAACGACTCGTGTAAGTGCCGTAGTGAGAGGGGTCAATGAACAAGACGTCATAGCCCTTATCATCATCTGTGTGTCTTTCCAAAATGATGTTATAAAAATCTAAAAGGGTGCCTTTCTTGCAAAGTTTCTTAAGTGCGTCTTGCTTTTCAAACCACCGGGAGGGGAGATAAGCCTGGGTACATATGTAAGTTAAGGATTGTGCGCCCCTCAATGACTCAGCTATGACCTCCCCATAGTACTCGCATACAAATGTGTTCCGGGAGATCCCCTCGCTTCGGATACAAATTATTCCCTGCATGCGAACATTGAGCGGCGTTTAGGTAAACATTTATAAACGTCCCAAAAACCTGCCCTTTAGGGAAGATTTTAAAGAAGTTCAAAGAGTATTTGGATAATCTTTTATAAAAAAAATAAATTAAAAACGCATGTGACTAAAAATTTGCGGATGGGGCTTACTTGTACAATAACGTGGTAGCATACTTTGTAAAGTAATCACGATCAGTTTCGTGAAGTATAAACTTTTTGACCTCGATAATAGCGCGAAGTGCATGCCGCATGTTCCAAGCCATGTCATCGGGCTGTCTACGTTAAAAGGAAAGGAGCGCATAATCGAGGTGTGAGCAAACCAAAGGAAGAACCCGTTGATCGTCGCTACCAGAGTGGAGATAAAGCGATCAATACGGGAAGTGACAAAAAACTGAAGCCCGTAATTAATTTCAATTCGTCCAAATTCATTCCTCGATAATGTGGAAAATAAGCAGCTGCCAGGAAGCACGCATTTATTAAAAGAGAAAACAATACAGAATTCCGTGAGCTGTACTATCGCACTGGAGGCTTGTAATTTCAGTATTTGCATTTGTTGCATTTGTTGTAGCAGAATGTAAGGTACTAGCGACAGGCGCTTTGGGTGATACTAAACTGCCGTTTTCGCAATTGCGTTCCGCTGCGTAGAAGGTTTAATGCCAGATAAAGGCAGAAAGCAAAACCGGCGGGGGCGCTTACATAATTCATATTCCACCAGTGTAAGAAAAACGTTTTTGCGAGTGTACGGGTCGAGCCCCCAAGTATTAGTTTTAGCCAGATCGCCGCCAGTTGTAGCATTAAACTCGAGAGCCAACTTGAGCCGCTTCCCTAGCCAAAGCAAGCGGATGCGAATAAACCACTGAAATTTACGAAGAAGAGGATCACGTATATACCGCTTGATATGGACCGGTTGCAACAGTTTATACCGCACGTACAAAGTCCTTCTTCGCATTCAACCCCTTTGATGTAATCGGGACACACTAGTTCCGAAGTGGATGGGCTGCAACTATAAATTATCGCTTCAGTTTCGGAAAAGCTAATAAATACCTTATACTATACCTAGCCTCTAGCAAGTTTATTGTACTGCAACAGTATTCATAATGGCAATGACCACGTTTATTAGTTTTCAACTTTTCCATAATTAAATTATCATCCAAAACGGGTACATAGCTACTGACTTCGCTATAAGGGCGGACCTTAAGCACCAAACCAAAATAAAAATATCGAAATTTGATTTATGAATTAAAAACGTGCAACTAGACAGATGGATTAGCGAACTTCCTGATAAAATTTCTTACCTCCAAAGGAGTAGTGATCCAGTCTCCTGCCTTGACGGCCTGTTACCAGTAAAGATAACTAGTTGTGCTGGAATAAAACAATAAGTTTAAGTTAGTTACCTCATAATTAGTAAAAGGGGCGAGGAAAGTACATTGCTTCGGCTTTGGGCTTGGAAGCGGACGGGGCGCTTCTTCTGTAGTCACACAAGTAGGAGCCTCTAACACGTTAATCTTTTGGAGGACTCGGTATAAACCAGTGCCTAACTTTTTTAAACGCAGGCCTTATGATTTTAGGTGCAAGAATTATAAATAAAAATGCAGTGCGGATTTAACGTATAAAGAAAAACCCTCTTTCCAAAAATACGACTGCTTAGGGTTAAATGAAAGGCAATTGTTGCAAAGAATTTCGAAGTCCTCGTATACTTTTTTAACATTATACTCTTCTTTATCATTTTTAAAAAGTTTACTCCTCATTGTTTGAAAGTCCATTGGTTGATGAACATATTTATAGTAATTTTCAACCTATAAATATTTTATAACTTTTAACTACAGTTGTAGAATAGTTCGTTTTAATAATGTACAGTATCAGGGACTGGCAACTGAAACAATCCAGTTTCGTCATAGCTTGAGAGAAGTTCTAGAAATAGCTTCGAATTAGAAGCAAAAGCGGTATTGCTAGAGTAACTATCCCCTTTCGTTTCTTTTTCCCTTTCTTTGGCTTCCTGTATCTGACATAAGAAACAAGTCCATACCCTCTGTCTATTCAGTTCTTCCAATCCAGCGCATGAAATATGGTATACCAACTTCCTCGAAAAAAAAAAATTAAGCAGGAAATAATGTACTAACCTGCTTCCTGTAAAAATTATTCATAATATTAATAGTCTTTTATTTATTAACTTCCTTTAAGTCAGAATTATAAAAGATTATAGTTTGTTAAATGAAAATTCTGATGTTAATAAGTAAAGTGTAACTATAAAAAAATACTTTGCAACCGGGCGACGAACAATAAAAACGGTTGCGCCTAGTTAAATGAGCACCATCGCAAATAAAGCAAGAAACAATTTTTTGATTTTGCTTTATCGGTTTTTTCTTCATAATAAGCAGCTAAATAATACTATAATGACTACAGCCGCTACGGGCAGAAGACACCACTCAAGCTCCTGGCTACAGCGGTTCTGATTTTTGTAGCGTGGTAAAGATCTTGTGAGTGCTGTTATTAGAAATCGTTAAGACTCATTTAAAATTTTAAAACTCTTCGTCTTTAAGACTTGCCCGTAATTGAATGTTCTTAAGTTATTAAATTTTATTTATCTAAACAGAAAAGTTGGAAGCCGTCACCACTTGACAACTATACCAATATCTAATTGTTTAAATGCGCAGAGATAGCCAAGACTACTGTGTGTAAAATTTATTGATCAACTTGATGCCCAGAATAGAAACTTGAGTTTGAAACATGTTTTAGCAAAGCTAATCAAAAATGCCGTTAAACTACTCGAAAAGATGGCACAAATTATATAAAATTCTTTCGTTACTTTACCTGTTGCTGAGCTTTGTTATGGACTGCCTACGGGCTACCTAACAAAGACTTGAGGACTTTTCAATTAGAAACATTACACGTACTAACACAACGAAAGTGCTTAATTATTATATATTCGAACAATATAATTAGAAGTTAATATGTAGAACTGTTATTTTAATAAAACGTTGAGTTTCTTATTAGGATATTGAGCTTCTCTTGGTTAATAAACTAACTTAAAGATATTAATATAAGTTAAAAAGGAAATTTTAAACTAATTCGTACTATTGCAGAATAAGAATCGTTTTAAAATATCTCTGTGCTCGGAGATTAGCAACCTTTCTCGGACCGCTCCCCCAAGTATTTGTCGGAGAATTAGTTTTAAGCTTTCTGCCTAAAACAGATATTAGCATAGTTCTGAATGTCGAGTGTTAGTAGAATTTTAAAATTGAACTTGCTATAACACTAAAGGTAGAAAAGTTAACTCAATTACCAAAGCAAGAGAAGCCGAAGGCCGCTTATAAACTAAATTATTTAGCATAGCATACATTTATGTCTATAGATAAGTTAAAAAGTTTAAACTGAAATGTAACTAACCTTATCATGCACTTGTTGATAACCTTCATAAATTGTAATAGGAACATGATAATAAGTATATATAAATAATATAAAATGGAACATAATAAAAAGAGTGAGAGAGAAATGATAAAAGATAAGAGCATTCATATTTGTGTATTAAAAATTTTATAGTGAGACGCATTATTTGCTAGTTAATTATTACAATGGTAAGTTAAAAAATAAAATTATAAATTGGTATTCTTTTATTGCTTAGTATTAATGACTCTTGTAGGAGTGAACCTAAAAGACAATTTTGACGCGCAGTAATTCTATTGAATACATAACCCTCTCTTTCGTAGTATACAACCGTAACTTAGCTTCGTTAAGAGAAAAATATTTTACTTTGACACAAACAGGTAGTTATCAAAATGTTTTTTTTCCTTCTTTTTTCTAAGTAAATTTTCTGAGGCTTGGTAAACCGAGTGGAGACCGCTTAGCTTTAGTATGAGCGCCTGTATCTCCCGAAGTAGAGTCATGATTGTCCCGAATCTAAGGGCTAGAGGAAGCTTATCGAGCCCTGGAATTTCGCCATTCGACCTAGTGTTTCGACCCGAGGCTTCTGGACACACCAACCGGCATTCCCGTCGACAGCTCGGTTTTACCGAACATAAGCTCACCACCTAAGGCAGGGAGCTCGTTCCGTTTTCAACGGCCTCCTATTAGCGCTTTAGTTTAATAGCAAGAGTTACGTATGGTGATGCATGTCTATAACAATTAAATACCAGCAACCGCACCCTGAGACTATTTGTATACCCAGATCTACTTGAGCATGTCGGGAGAAGAAGCTAAGATCCTGGGTGTAAGAGACTTGGTGAAATTTTTTTCTTAAAACAAAAGTTACAAGATTGGTATTAAAAAATAAAACCTGGGTTTTAGCTATCTCGCTCTGTAACCTCTAAAATTTTCTAGTTCGTTAATTGCGATGAATAAAAACATAATTCTATACGGCGAGTCAAAAGTGGAAGGGAATTACAATGATGCTGATGTGTAAAGAGGTGGAAAGTTAATACCTGATACCAGGCCCTCCTATTTCTGAGCCCTCTGCCCTAATGATTCGCCCGATTAATTATTTTTTAAATTACCCACATGTATATAGGAAAGCTTGAGTTTCGTTTATTCTTTTTATGGTTGGCTTTCGTCTCTTGTTCTGTTCTTGTCTTTCTTCTAGTTCTTGTTCTTCATCTAGTTTTCGTTTTGTAGTTGTTCTTGGTTTTTTTTGGTTCTGATCCATTTGTTTTATTCTTACTAACTAGAATATTTAAATAAACATAATTTTACTATACTTATTTCTGGTTGCACAACGCCCTTCCATCTTCGTAGAAGTAACTTCCTTTAGGGTCGCTACAGAAAGTAGGTTGACCAAGATCATTAAATTTAGCAGATCAATAAATATTTACAGAAATAGCAAGCCCCCACAAAAGGTTACCTAATTTTTACCTGTTCTTTTGTTTCCTGGCTGAAACGTTTTTGAGGTATAAGGGGTCAGTCTATTTATAGTGTACTTATTTCCACCTTAAATTTGTACATCTATATCATCACTTTTTATAGCCCCTACTTGAAATACTGCCATTTTAGGAATAAGAAGAGATCCAAAGCCGCGAAGAGATAATAAATAAAATTCGTATTAAAATGCACGGGTAGTGTGGTGAAGAGGATATAAGGCGGGGCGCCATATAATTAGTGCAGCTTCTATTAAGAAACCCAAAATAATTATAATTATGCTCAAAACGCTAAATGATTAATTTATTTCTGAAGAAATCCGAATTATATAAGTCATGAGAGAATGAGATATGTAACAGGCTGATACATGAAGCCACCCTACTGGGTTTTAGTGTTATCGTCGGAGCTCCGCGTTTAAAGTAGTGAAGCGTATCCTCAAGGGGTTAGACCCCCACTACAACTCTCGCTCAAACTTAAAGTGCAGACAGAATGAGTAAATATATTGCAAGCCTACATTTCTTGGTTTAGACCGCTATTTTGAGGTGAACATTTGTATAGATCGATATATTTTTTACCTGTCTCGCCCTTATTAATACAGGCACTACGATTAACCCTTTAGTGACACCGCTAGGAAGTTTTAGGATCAACATACATTATTTTAAGTTAAGACAAGCGAATAAACATTATTATTTAACTTGTACAAACTACTTTTGGGATAAGCAGATTGTTCAGTTTTTTTACGCTTAATATGTAAGGGAATTCGTATTTAACTTTTTTATGTTTTTTAGTAGTTTGTGCTATCTTCAATATTCTATGTAATTTTTTTGTGGATGTATATGGTATTAAAATATTCCATTTATTTTTTTAAGGCCTTAAAGATTTATATATTGTTTTGGTTTGTCATAGGGTTTCTTTTTCAAAGTCCAAGTTATTTTTTACTACCCCCCTTAATACCAATTTAGATTACCATCCTATATACATTTATTTGTGATAAATGTTTATTGAAAGGTAACTAACTTCATCTCATAAAATTCTTCACCAACGAATCTCTTATACATTTTTTTTTAAAAGTTCACGGGATAATAATGCTAAACTGTAACTGCTTCTTTTATCGGGTGTAAACACGATGTCCGTTACTAGAACACCGTTGTTTACCAGTCTCGCTAGATGGATGGGCAGGAGGATATAAAAACTTTCTCTTCTATTGTAAAGATCTTAACTATAGATGATTGTTGGCTAAAAAGAGTTAGAGTGGTTAAATATAAAATTTACTTATATTTCTTTAAATCCCCTAACAAAGGCAGGGACTCAGGTGTTAATGTTTACGAATGAAGTTGAGTGTTATAGTTTTATTTGGATGTTTTTTGATCAACTAATAAATGGAGCTTGGATTTAACTAAAGTTGTTGTTAATGTTCAGCCATGATACTCCCTCGAAGTAACAAGAATAGCAAAATATAAAATGCAAGCATTTATGGACTAATATTAGTTTTCCAATAACCTTGGATAGTTAAAATTATGGGATGCATTGATCGTCTAGTGTTTGCTATAGTTTATATTAAGGCTATCTAAACTTTTTTTATCAAAAAAATTTTAAATTTATGGTATATAAGACTAGTAGAATCCAAAAAATATAATGAAGCTTTTACACTTCTTCCTCTGCTTCATTTATGGTTAGAGAGACCAATACGGGTGTGCCCCAACCCCTTTAAGAGGGAGAGTGGGACTTAAGCAATTATACAGATTTACTTTACATTTATCTACCCAGAGAGTGTTATACTATAAAATTTTATATATTTTCATAATCTATTTTCATAAACGTATTTTATTAATATAGTAATTTTTTTAGTTAAAATTTTTTTTTACCTTGCCAAGTCTGCACAAGCGTTTAATTACTCAAGTTTTAACTATTATACAGACAAAAAAAAAGTTAATTTAATTAAAGATCAGATTACAAAAACTTGCCTATAAAATTTAAATTAAAGATAACTCGAGAGAACGAAAGAAGCATTGGGGCCTTAAATTTAAAGGCTATAGAAACATGTTTTCTTGACTCTAAATTTTACCCTATAAGGGGTCGCGAGATGCTTACAAACCGAAGGCTGCAATACTGAAGCTAAGTAATAAAATATAACTCCTTTTTTTGCTACTAAAAATAATATTAAGACTAGCCAAATTATATTAGTAATTAAATTAACACTGAAAATTATAATAATAAGAGAATAGCCAATAATTATTCGTACTAATAACTATAAAGTTGGCGGTAGGAGCATACTAGTAATAACAACAGTGATAATAGTGCTATATTCAGAAACAAGAAATAGCTTCTATTACTAGGGACTAAAAAAATAACGAAGTATCTCTTAATTTTATCAAGAAAGATAACCTTTCCATGTCCGTGCAGAAAACTTAGCTCGGGGTATTAAAATCTAGCTTT